CAGTCTGTTCAAGGTGGAGGATGCAGATATTCGCAAGGGCATGGAAACATCCCTAGTGAAGTCGATGCAGCGCGCCAAGTATTTTGTTTGCGGCGGCAAGTCGCGGCAAGAATGGATGCACTACGGTCTCAATCTGCCCGTTTACACGCACTCAACGGCGCCCACACGCCGAGTTGTCGACATCATTGTCCAGCGGCAGCTTCTGGCGGTGCTGTCTGGTAATCCCGACTCATTCGAGGACGATACCTTGACCAAGACGGTCGACTCTTGCAACGTCAAGAAGGACTCGGCGCAGAACGCGCAGGAGCAGAGCGTGCATATTGACTCGTGCCGTATCATGGACAAGAAGCGCCTCGAGACGCACGGCGACCTCATCTCCGAAGGTATCGTCCTCTGCGTGTACGAGTCGGCCTTTGACGTGCTGATTCCCGAATGGGGCTTTGAGAAGCGCGTGCACTGCGACCAGCTGCCTTTGAAGAAGGCTGAATTCCGCAAGGACAAGCGCGTTCTGGAGCTGTACTGGGAGAAAGGTGTGACCAGCTCGTCGTACGTTCCCGAAGACGAGCGTGTGCGGTCTGGCCCGTCAACGCGCATCAGAGACGCTGCGAACGCGCAACAGCAGCACGAGGAGGCTGAGCGCCAGCGCCGTGAGCGCGAGGAGGCTGCTCGCAAGCAGATTGACACGGGCACCATCTCGACGGACGACACGGACGCTCTGTTTGACGATGACGAGGATAACGGCTCGGACATTACGGAGGCCATGGCTGGCGCGTCGCTTGCCGAGCGCCCGACGCAGAGCGTTCCTGGCTCGCCGTCGCGTCCCGAGGTCGGCGGCGGCGCGGACGCCGCCCTCCAGCGTGCGCAGTCTGAACGCGTCCCTGCGTCGGAGTCACCCGAGTCCCGCCTCACGGACAAGGAGAAGTACCTCAAGCTGTTCAGTCTGCGTGAGGAGGATGGCGAGTATATCCAAGATGTGACGGAGATGACGCGTGTGCCCATCATCCTCAAGACGGATCTTAGCAAGAGCCCACCGTATGTTGACGTCCCTTTCCGTGTTCATGTTTATTTCATCTGCTAACATTCGTATTTTCCAGGTGCTTGACGATCCGCTCCGTCAACCCTTACGCTTTGTAAGGAGAGATGTGCAGTCGTGCAACGTCCTAGATCAGAACGCCGCCGAAGCAAACACGCTAGGGGGCGAATCGAAAATACAAAAAGCAAGAGGTGAAGATAATGTGTGCTGCACGTGTGCCTGGACCCAGTCTACTGGTGTCACTGTGCTTGCGGCAATATCCGCGGTGGGTGATCTAGTTGATGGAGAATTTGAGTTTTGATTTTGGCCATCCGCGCATGTTTCTGGTTATTGCAAGTGCTTTAGTTTATTGTATCTGTTTCCAATTTTTGTTTTATATGCCTTTGCAATATGTGGTTTTTTTCTTGCCATTCTTGCTGTTTGCTTTTCAGACTGGCACCCGTCACTCAACACGCGACTGCGTTCGTCGTACTGGAAAGAACAAAACTTCACATACCCTTCTGCGGTTTAGCAGACAGCGACAAGCCTTGCGCAGCACATCCGCAGAGCCACTCGCTTTCAAGGCATGCTGCATACATGACACGTGCGGAAAAGAGCATGCCGTCTTGGATATCCCCGGTGCTCTTTTTCATTTTATATTATTGGAAAGCAAAATCAATAAAGGAAGAAAATTCGGCAACCCAACGAGCATTGGATAGTTAGATGTTCGTACGTTGATTCTTGTCTTGTGTTCATGAGCAGCGACGAGATTCTCACAATATGTGCGTGACCGTCGACTCTTTTGCAATTTTTTCAATCATCGTGAAGTAAATGAAACGCTTTCTCATGTCCATTCGTCTCCAAAGACATTCTCAGATGCAGCTTGTGCAGCCATCCGTTCCATCCGGTCGTTCTTTGTGTATGTCATTATTTAGCCGGAGCGTCAGTGCTGTGTCAAACCCTCAGAGCTAACGATGTCGATGCGACAGATGATCGACACTTTTCCCATTTGAAGAATGCAAAAGAGGCGGGTTCAAGGTCTTCATCGTCGCCCAGAGCTCCGAATTCAAAATGGCATTGAGCTTGTCGGCTCGCGGCATAAGCTTCAAAATGGACCGCTTCTCGATACGGCCTCCGGCTTTGTTTAGTATAGTTTTGTTATGATTGCAGCACGACATAGCAAGTGCCAAGAAAACCAACACATGTCGGCAAGGCTGCGAATGCATCGTCGAATGTTTTGATATTTGTTTATACGTATTGAATGTAGTTGTATTCGTTTTTATGTTTGTCGAGCAAACACTGCCTGTGGTCGTTTTCTCTTATTTGTAAAACATAATGTCTAGATACTCCATGTCAAAAAAAAAAAAAAAAAAAAAAATTAATTGAAGACAATAAGAATAAGAATTAAACCAGAGTTATCTCAAACAAAACAATCCTGATTAAATAATACAAAATTATATGCATCATATCTGCTCTTTGATACCATGACACACAGGTCTGTTCCCAATCCGCTTACACTTCACTTGCAGACAACGCCCTAGTCCTAGACAGCCCCCCTGTGCTTTGCATCCCCAGTTGCTTTCGCTGGTACTTCTGATGGCAACCAGTATGAAACTCCACCTATATCAAACATGGCGTCCTCCCTTTGTGATGCATCCTCCTCCTCACCCCGTCCGTCGCTGTGGACCATCAACTGGGCATATCCTGTCTCCATTTTTTGAACATCTCATCTGGCCTGCAAGGGCCCTGGTCTTGTCGGCTCGGCTCCCGAGCTTATCTATGTTACGGGCAATCATCTTCTCTATTAATATCTTCCTGATGCAACGGAAAGCAGAGCATCCATCCCCATTTATGTGGGAACATGCAAGGACATGCCAAAACTGCCAATGCTGACAATGTTTCCGACAAATGTCCTCCAATTTACGAGAAAGACATGGTGTTTTTGTAGATGGAAGGTGGAACAGTCTGTCACGACATTGCAAACAAACGCAACCTATGAAAGTACGTCTGGACAATGGAGACAGAGAAACATGTTGAAATTTCCGGTGTACCGGAATGTGATCGAGCTGACGGCATTTCAATAAAGTTGGCCATTTGCATGGCAGTCCCTTGCCATGCTTCTGCAGCTGTCCGTCGATAAGTCGAGACCGAGAACGCACAAAAGTACGGAGTGCACCGCCATACGAATGGAAAATAGCTTGCCTCCTACGATGTATTGTTAGGACTCTGTCGGCCCTCCGATGCAATATGATGTTGCTTGTTGTCTATCTGCGTTCCCATCGCTCCTTCCTCTGTTTGTCTCCTACCTGGCTACCGTTTATTTGTGTTAATTACCTCCTAAGCACCACCTAAGCACCACCTACGATCGCGCCATGCCTAGACAAAAACACTCTTCACTATCCTTACGCGACAGCTGATTTACACATTCGCTTGATTCGTATTCCACCCAAGAGCTTCTGCGCCGGCTTGCACACAGTCCGCGCGCCCGAAACTGCGCTGAAACCGCTCCGATGTCACAAAAAGTGGAGAAGGGAAGGTGCTACCCGTGCCCTCCTTGTTTTGAAGCACCCCCGCATCGAAGCTTTATTTTTCTGGAGCGTGCTTGCCCTACGGAGTACGGAGTACGGCACACAGACAAGCCAAGTAAAATTAGAAAGGGAAGGAACAAGAAACTCCCTTTAGGCAGGTACGACAGCGAGCTGCAGCGTACATTCGTTGTCCGAGCCCCGTTTCTACACGTTCTTTCGTCCCAAAGCGCAGTTGCACCTATCTTACATAGGGTAGGAACGGAAGGGGGAAGGGGTTTTCAGTGTTTCGTGTTTCACTGGCTTCTGATTGGCCCACTGCCACGTCCTGGCCTCACTTACACGAACAACCTCACAGCCACGAGCCTCCACAAGAACGCCAACGATGGTATCGCCAACTTAGTTTCTCGGCGTCGTCGTTGCGCCTCTTGGTAGATATGTCCACTGCAGGGATCTGTCGCCTGTCCGTCCTGCCATCTCAAATCTGGTCTCAACCGGACTCGACTCTGTGCCCTTCGTCCTCCTCTTGGCAACCCTGGAACACTTTCTCGGGAGCGCCCTCTTCCATTCTTCCCTGCCTGCTGCCTCTGCCCCCGTGCATTGCGCAACCTGGCTCCCCAGCCCGCAAGCCATCTGTTCCGAGCCATCATTGCCAGAGTGCTGTGCCTTATACGTGTTGCGCGGACACCGTACAGAGGTCTGCCTCCTGCCAGCAGAGGCAGACCCGCCTTTTGTTTATCCATCTCCGTACCATCTCTGCGCCAGTCTGTCGCCTGTCGCAAAACAGGCCTGTGCCAAGCAGTGGGAAGCCGTTTCTCGGATCGAGGAGCAGCCGCTTGCGCCAAATTCACGGCTGGCTGCCCTTTGCTGGTCTGTCCTTCGTCTCTTGTTCTCTCGTCTCCCCTTGACCCCTGTCCCTCGTTTGCTGTCTTTGCATGGTCATTTTGTATTTCCCCCGTACCGGTTGGACCTCAGTACCCCTTCCGGTCTTGGCTTTTTTGGTCTTTGTACGTCTCCACGTAGGGGAGAGACCTTTCTTGTTACGCTCTCTGAGCCATATCTTGTTCCCTTCTTTTCCTCCCTATTCCCTTTTCTCTTTTCTTTCTCCCCTTTCCCTCTTTTTTCTTTTCTTTTCCTGTTACTCTCCTTCCTTTTCTCATCTCACGACATTCTGTGTTTTCCGATCATCGTCCTTCTTTTCCTCCCCTCACTTTCCCTTCCTTTATAGAACCCCAAAGCGCTGGTCGGCTTTCCTGGGCATCGTTTTGTTTATTCACTCTTTTACAACCACAGTCTTTATTCGCCGTGTTTTTACATTTACCTTTTTAATACCTTTCAGAGTGTGCACCCCGGAGGGCAGCATCTTTGCAACAAAATCAGGCTGGTCTTGCTTTCTACGATTCACGACATAAAAATCCAATAAACCCCGAAACTCACCGCGACATCGACAACAAACCCTCATAATGCCTTCCTTCATCAAGACTGCAGGCCTCGTGGCCGGCCTCGTCACCGTCGCATGCGCATTACCATCGGTTCCCAGGCTCAGTGCCTCGCAAGTGAAGATGTACGAGTACAGCAAGCGCCAAAACGCCGCAGCAGCCGCTGCTGGCCTCACGGATGTTGACATTCTGCAATTGTGAGCCCTCCATTCGCCTTCTTTTTTTATAAAAAAAAAGTATTTGCTCTCCCCCTAACAGCACAAGTGCCCTCACGCTCGAATGGCTGGAGGGTACCTTTTACCAGCAGGGCTTCGCCAAGTTCCCGGCCTCTGACTTCACCGCCCTCGGCCTGACACAACAGCAAGTCAATGATCTGATCGGCATCGGCTCCAGCGAACAAGCCCACATTTCCCTGCTGCAGTCCGCCATCGCCCAGGCAGGCGTCAAGCCCGTCGAGCCCTGCACCTACAACTTTGGCTTCACAGACGCCAAGTCCATGGTCGCCACCGCCGGTGTTCTCGAGAACGTCGGCGTCTCCGCCTACTTGGGCGGCGGCCCGCTGATTTCCGACGGCTCCATTCTCTCCACCGCCGCCTCCATCTTGACCGTCGAGGCCCGCCACCAGACCTTTGTCCGCGTTGCCAGCGCCGCCGCCGCCGCCCCGGGTGCCTTTGACACCGCCCTGTCGCCCAAGCAGGTCTTCTCGCTCGCCGCGCCCTTCATCACGTCCTGCCCCGAAGGCTCCAACCTGATCCTGACCGCCTTTCCCGCCCTCACCATGGCCGCCGGCCAGACCGCCGTCGCCGCCATTGGCCAGACCATCCAGCTCCAGTCCAATGCCTCGTCCACGGCGCAGTTCTGTTCCTTTACCAACGGCAACATTGCCGGCGGCACCGCCTTTTCGGCCTTTTCGCCCGAAACAGGCTGCACCATCCCGGGCCAGGGCGAGTTGGCAGGCATTGCATACGTCAACCTGGTGACCCAGGCGCCGCTGACGGGTGTCATTACGGACGACATTATTGTTGCTGGCCCCATGGTTCTGCAGATCTCGTAGAGCTCAGAAGGAAAGGGGGAGTGGGGGATACAAGAAGAATGGTGAAGCGGATGATGAAAAAGGGGTGGGAACGGGACACCACTTCTTGGACACACTCTTCTTTTTTATTATTTTCTGTTTCGCCGTCGTATTATTCCTCCCCTCTCAAGTTCGCACTCCGATTCTCTTTCTCTTTTCCAGGTACTTTAGACGAAAATGAGGATCAATCGATCTTTTGGGGACATTTTTATTCTCATGTCTTGCTTCCTTCTTATTATATCTTTATTTGTAGCCTTTCTATTGCTTTTTTCTTCTATTTCTCTTATCTTCTCTTTTCTACAGTATTACTGCTCCTTAGTATACTTACTATTACAATTACCCCTTTTGTTTACATTCTTTCACATAGAAAACAAAGTTTGAAAAAATTAAAAGGCAAGAAGAAGTTAACTTGGAGACGATACGAGAAAGACAAAATATATTGATTGCTCTACACTTTGCAATGCCAAATGAATAGAACCTGCCTGACCAAAACGCCAAACTGATGCGAGTTGTATGCCCATCGTTGCCCATCGCTGCCCGTCATGACTCATTACCTAGCACACCTCTTCTCGCTACCGCCGAAGTCGTCGCCCTCCGTGCGGTTCAAAAAACAGAGGCGACCGTATCAAACCCAAGGCCCGCTGAGCCCGCGACATGCTCCGGCGTTTCTAGCTGCCTGCATATGCATGAATGCCAACGTCACCGGCCGTTGTATCTCCCTGTCCTCCCTCCCGCCGCTGCCTCTCTAATTCTGCCTTGGCATCCCGTACCAGCGTCTTGGCCTCTTCCACTTCGACGCCGTCCAGGCACAGCTCCGACGCCAGCATAATCGCCGTCTCGTACTCTTCAGATTGCAGGGCCGCCCGCGCGAGCCACAGACGTGCCTTGCTTGTAGCTGGTGTGACGCCTGTGCCCTCGTTACCGTTGCCTCCACCACCGCTTCCCCCGCCGCCGCCGTTGTCGTCGTAGTCGTCGTCATCGGGTGCCGCGCCGGACCCACCCATGGACTCCCGGTGCAGAGCCACCGAGTCGCTCAGGTTCGTGTTACCGCCGCCGCCGCCACCCGCAAAATCCTGCTCGCCCTCCTCTTGCGCCATGCAGAGCTCCATGTACGACTTGGCCTCTTCGTGGTCGTCGAGGTGATCGTACATAAAGGCGATTTGCAGCAAGATTTCCGGGTCCATGTAGCCAGGCGCCGCACCTCGTCCACCATTGCCGCCAGGGCCGCCCGCGGATTCGTAGTTGGCATCGGCCAGGAGAGCGCGTTTGAGCGCCTTGATGCCGTCGCGCGGCCGGCCAATCTTTTGCAGACACGAGCCAACCGCCATCCACATCTTGCCATCCCACGGCCGCAGGCCCGCGGCCTTTTTGTAGTAGAACAGCGCGTACGTATGCTGCTCGAGCACCTCGTACGTCTGTCCCAGGCCGTACCACGCACGGTAATCGCGCCTGTTGACGTCCACCGCCCGCCGGTACGACTCAATGGCCGCGTGCGTGTTCTTGAGCTCAACGTACTCGTGGCCCATAAGCGTCCATGCCGACAGGCACGACCGGTCGAGCACAAGCGCCCGCCGGAAGTACTGCACAGCCTTCTCGTGTGCCGACATGAGCGAGTAGTAGTTGCCAATCACCACGCACGTTTCCGCCCGAAACTTATCCAGACTCTGGCAAAGGTGCGCCAAAAAGGCTAGCTTGGGCCGCATGTTGAGAACATACAATATGTTGGAGTAGTGGTCCAGCGAGTCGAGTCGGTGCGGATGCTGTGCCAGGAGTGTGCTAAAGTGCTGCTCGGCAGCGATCAGGTCTTTGCTGTGGTAGGCAAGCAGCGCATTGCATGTGAGCAAAAACGACGAGTTGGGGAAGATGGACAGCAGCTGTTCGACCGATGTCGCCAGGTTGTGGCCCTGCTGGTATAGCTCGAGCGAGGCGTGCAGGTGGAAAATGAACGACACAATGTTTTGTGGTAGTCGCGGTGCAATCTTGTTGAGCTCGTCCACGCGTGACAGGAGCATCGTCATCTCCTGCCAGCAGCCCCAGTTCATCGGAAAACGGTGCACGCTGCGGATGAACCACTCCATGGCCTCCTTCTCGTTCTTCTCCTTGGCCAACACCATGCCGTACAGGTACTCGAGCCAGCCCTGGCTGACGACTCGCTCCTCGTCCTCGTCCATCCCCACCATGTTCTGGTCGAACCACGTCTGCAGGTACGCACTAATCACCTGCAGCTGGCGGTTGACCACGTCGCCTGTGTCCTGCGGACCCATGACCATCTCCACGTCCTCATCCTTTTTCTTTTCGCCTGCAATCATCTTGGCGTACAGCGCAAGGAACAGGCTCTTTTGGCTGAGCTCCGGCAGGCTACCTACGTCCACGGGCACTGCGTCTTCAAACGGAGCCCACATTGGTGCGTCGGCGTCGTGCGATTGGCCGCCGCGACCGCCGCCGCCACCTTTGTCTGTGAAGCTCCCGGACTGGTTCAGCTTTCCGCTTCCCCGGCCACCTGCCGCCGTAGAAGCAGGTGCCTGGCTGTCCCCAAAGAGGTCCGGGTGGTTCTGGCGGTATGACGATAGCACACCCGCCATCAGCGAGTCAGGCAAGAACACAGCGGCACACCGGTCGTACTCGCGGCAGTCGAAGAACGACTTGGCCAGCAGGTATTTGTTAATCTCGGCGGCCTCGAGTCGCGCTTCGGCGGGGTCGACATTTTGTGTGACGAGCAGTGGTGGTGGAGTCGCCGACGGAGGAAGGTTGATGTTAGTGTTGTCGACGGCCGATTCAGGGATGGACGTCAAGAGCTCGGCAGCCCTAGATTGTTAGTCGTTTGATACGAAAGGTGCAAGGTAGGCAAGATGAAAGATAAGTACCATTTAGCCGACTGATAGAGACAGCGCTCAGAGCACTTGACGACGGCATCCTGCAGCGCAGACCTCAACTGCAGCGTCTCCTGCTTGTTGAGGGCCATTGGTGCTCCCACCGGGCCCGGTCTCAAGGATTTTGAAGTCAAAATAACGGTATGCCGGGCAGAGTCGAGCCTTGGTAGCTGACGAATTCTTCGTTCAGTCGCTACTTTTGTCTTCTTCCAAATGGCCGACGGTGGTGGACACGAACTGTGATCAGATGGGTTTGTTGTCAGGCGATCTTGCAGTCGCGTGGGCTCTAGCTGGCCCTCTTGTTGGATGCGTCAATGTGTTAACGCAAAAAATGGAGCTGATTATTCGATAATCTTCAAAGATTTGGACCTCGTTGCATTTGTTGTGTTCGTGATGCCGTAGTCTCCCTTGTTATCGGTTGCTCTTTCCTCTTTCGCAAGCGCGTCGACCGTGTCGAACTGTTGCAGGAAGCTACGACGGGACCCACCACCACAAGCGCCTATTCTGCCGCTCTTTCCCCCATCTCGCCTCACTTGTCAAATGGTCACACCGCCTTTGTACCTTGCCCCTGGCCAAGCAGGTGCAACCCCACCGCCACCACCGCCAATCCTGCCAACAGCTGGGACCCTTAATTAGCCATCCTTGTGCACAGAATAACTCCCCTCCTTTGCTCCGAATTCGACTTGAAGAATAGCAACAGGCTTCGCATTCTCGCCGCCACCGGTACCGACAACGTTGTTTATTAAGGGCGACACCTTGACTCGTTCGACCTCTTGTCTAGATCTTCCAGCCCACCAACTTTCTACACAACGATACCCCCACCCAATCATTACAATGGCGCAAAGAACGACATTGATGGAGTTTGAGGCGGTCTTCCCCAAGCTCGAGGCCACCCTCCTGGCCCACGCTCAGAAGTACAACCTGCCCGCCGAGCACCTCGCCTGGTACAAGAAGAGTCTCGAGGTCAATGCCGTTGGCGGCAAGTGCAACCGCGGCATGTCCGTGCCCGACTCGGTGTCGATTCTGCTCGGGCGAGCCCTGACTGAGGAGGAGTACTTCAAGGCTGCCACGCTTGGCTGGATGACCGAGCTGCTGCAGGCCTTCTTCCTCGTGTCCGACGACATCATGGACAGCAGCATCACGCGCCGTGGAAAGCCTTGCTGGTACCGCCACGAGGGTGTCGGCATGATTGCCATCAACGACGCGTTCATGCTCGAGTCGGCCATCTACACGCTGCTCAAGGAGCACTTCAAGTCGCACCCGGCCTACGTCGACCTGCTCGAGCTGTTCCACGAGGTCACCTTCCAGACGGAGATTGGCCAGCTTGCCGACCTGCTGACCGCACCGGAGGACAAGGTCAACCTGGACAACTTCAGCATGGACAAGTACCGCTTTATTGTCATCTACAAGACGGCCTACTACTCCTTCTACCTGCCCGTGGCCCTGGCGCTGCACATGCTCGAGCTCGGCACGCCCGAGAACCTCAAGACGGCCGAGTCCATCCTGATCCCCATGGGCGAGTACTTCCAGATCCAGGACGACTACCTCGACAATTTCGGCCTGCCCGAGCACATTGGCAAGATCGGCACGGACATCATGGACAACAAGTGCTCGTGGCTCGTGAACCAGGCGCTGCAGCTGGCTACGCCTGAACAGCGCGCCGTGCTCGAGCAGCACTACGGCCGCAAGGACAAGAACAGCGAGGCTGCCGTCAAGGCACTGTTCAACGAGCTCAAGCTGGAGCAGCGCTACCTGGACTACGAGGAGAAGGTGGTGGGCGAGCTGCGCACGCAGATTGGCGGCATCGACGAGTCCAAGGGCCTGAAGAAGGCCGTCTTCGAGACGTTCCTGTCCAAGATCTACAAGCGCAGCAAATAAACTACCTGCGTTGGAAGTTGGAAGGGGTGGGTGGTGCAAAGAGGTCCTCAGGTGCAAATTTCTTAGAGCGGTTGCAAACACCGCCGATCAACAAAACCCGCATAGCACATGCTTCAGGGAGCTAGGTCAAAAAAAGTAATAAACCCAAAGTTAGTCATTTGTTTGCTTCAATCCATTTAATTATTTAGTTTTGTCCTCGTAACATTCGTTAAAAATGTAAAGTAATGCCAGCCTTGGCTTTTCGCAGCCTTATCCAAAAGTCCACAAATATAGATTGAAAATGTCAAACAAATACGATCGAGTTGTGTCGCCTCGATAGGTCGTCTTATTTTCTAGTTTCGAGTTAGCGCAGCGGTGCGATCGCGACTGGTCGGTGCCGACGGGGCGCCTTCTTGCAACGGCACTCCACCAGGAATAAGCGACAGCAATGGGACCGGCGGTGCATTGCTTCCAGTACCGCCATGTCCACCGCCACGAGTCGCACGGCTGCCATGTTGCGCCAAGCTGCGGCTCCGCGAAAATCCAGCAGCGACAGCAACTGATGAGGCAGTCATGGTCTGTGACCGACTCGCAGGGTTGCTGCCTGACATGCTGCTATGGTACTTGGACTGTGTCCCCTGCATCACCTGGTGTGGGTGGGACTGGTGAGGCTGGTCCCGGCGAAGCAGGTTTGCGTTGGATGGTGGCGGCACGGCACCACCGACAACTTGCTGGCTGACACCTATGGTTTCAGCCATTCGCGTTTTTCTGTCTGTGGCCAGGTCAACAAGATGGGCGGTGCCCACAGGTGCACGCACGCCATGACCTTTGCCTTCCTTGGACCATTGTGGTGCCTCCTTGAACTTAGGTGTCAGGTCGATCAGAGGGGCCGGCATGTTTGGTGGCACTGGCGGCGCAGATGGCTGTTGGGCCGCGGCAGCAGTGCTTGCCATGGTACGACGAACGGACCGGCTGCGGCTCATGGAGGCGTCATGTTCGAGCCTCTGTTGCTGCTGTTGCTGCTGGAGAAGCTGCGGAAACTGAAGTCCCAACGGAATATCTTCGGTCGACTGCGGCCGCGACGAAGACGGAGTGCCTTCGCGGATGGACTTGGTCCGCTGTTGAGCTGTATGTTCACTTGCGGACGGGAACCACGGGGCCTCGTTATCAACAGCCGCACTCAGACCCTTAAACGAGCCACTAGACGACTGGTGGTGATGACGCTCACGGTCGCGAACACTAGAAGCCTGAGTAGCTGCCGAGTCAGCTCTACGGCGCGTGTCATGTCCATTGCCGAGTAGACTACCCGATGTGAATATGCTAGGGTCGTCCTTAGTCCGAAGAGAGCGTGTCCTAGGGTCAGATGCAGCTGCAGCAGCGGGAGGCTCTGAGCGGTCAAGATCAAGGGTCGGGTCGAAGTCGCCAATGCCGCCAAACAGGGAGCCGACAGTCGAGAACCGAGTATGGTTATCGATCGGTGCAGCGTTGCTTGCCGATCTGCGGCTCAGGGACCGCTGCAGCGTGTTCTTCCGCAGAGCAGCGGATGATGACGGTGGCATTTGAGCAGCAGCTTGACCGATGGATCGTTGCTGCTGCTCGTCTTCTTGCTTCTTCTTTTTGGAAGCGGCGTTGCGATCAGGTAGTGATAGGTGGCGGTTGACCAGATACCAGCTGCGCCACCCAAACACCCGGTCGTAAAACATGCGGGCTTGCACGGCATCGTCGGTCGAGAAAAAGTGGACGTAGTTGTCCGTGTTGAGGAACACCGTTGTGCGCTGCTGGCTCTTGACGGCAAAGCAATAGGCCTTGGGTGGCCGTAGATTCTTACGCATCTGTGCCTCGGTCGGAGTGTAGATGTCGTAGTCGCTAAGATGGCAGAGGTTTTGGAAGTCGGTGTTGCTGTTGTTGCTATTGCCCGAGCGGTTGCTGGTCTCGCTGGCCAAAAAGGCAAGCCGGCTCTCATCGGCCTTTTTCGACGCCACCATCTGGCCCGTCTCTTCGACAAGCGTAATGAAGCGCTTGTTCCAGCGGCCTGGCTTCTGGGAATGGTACATGCTCATAAACACAAAACCTGGCGGGCGAGACGCACGGCTCCGCGAAACCGAAGAAAGTTCGAGGTCGCTAGCGTGGCCATTGCGGCCAACACTGTTGCTGCTGGTGATTGCTCCAATGTCCTCATGGTGCGAGCTGCTCTTTGAAAAGAGACCCTTCTTTTCCTTGGGCGACTGCTCGCCGGCGGACGCTGCCATCGCAGCTCCGCTCGCTTCTGAGAGCATCACGACAAACGCGTTGTCGTTGTCAGTATCCCACGAACCCATAATATCTTTGATGCGCTCGTACCGCCGCAAGCGCCGTTCAAGGCCGAGGCGCGTGTAGCTTTCAATCAGTGCACAGCCGTTCAAATTGATAGCACGGGGCAGGAGCTCCGTCGCAACGTCAAGAGCGTCGCCCACGGTCGTTTCTGGTGTGATGGGCACGTTGACAGAGAACTGCCGGCAACGGACAATGATATGCTGCCCGTGTTAGCCGGCGCTAATCACAGAGAAGACAGACGAACGGATAGAACTACGTACCTTATTCGCTCCACTTCCAGGAGCGGAGGACGGCGCATCCATGTGTTGCGGGAAAGCAGTGGGTGATGCGGATGTCGCAGTGGTGGCGGTGCTGGAGTGAGGAGGAGGCTCGGAGCCGCTATGGGCGCGCCCGCTGTCGTAGGTTGTTGTCGGGCGCGAGGAAGATGCCCCGTTGGGACCGTCGGGTGAGTAAGGCAGCGGTTCGCTGGACGTGGTAAAAGTCGTGGCGGTAGGCGTCGCAGGTGCGGCAGAAGAGATCCCACGTCGACGGGTCAAGAAGGAGAACTTGTCGCGCGAAGGGCTTTTGGGCGGCAGGTTGGAGGCGGCGGACTGGTGGTTTTCCAGCTCGCGCTCGAGACGTTCCAGGTCCTTTCTCTTTTGTTCGGCCAGCAAGCGCTCGGCCTCTGCTTCGCGTCGTGCAACCTCGTCCGCCTCCAAAGTCACGCCGTCGGCGAGCAGCACCTCGTGTTGGTCAACGCCAGAGACCATGCCGCGGGCCCTAGCTGACGGCAGTGGCACAAGGGTAGGTACAGCTGCAGATGCAGACATGGGCTCAGGTGCTGCAGGCACTGGTGCAGGTAAAGAGGTGTCCAGACGAGATGGGCGCTGGCGGGTAGTGCGGTATCGTGAGCGTTCTCCAGGGGATGCTGAAGGGGCAACAGGCATCGTAGCTGTGCTCCCCGACGACTGTTGTTGTTGCTGGGACGGTGGTGGCTCTAGTGGCGCATGTCCCACAGCGTCAGCCATGTTCCTGCCACCGTTCACACCGGCTCCACCATTCCCGTTTGTCAGGGTCGGTATTGGCAGCCGTTGCGCGTCATTGCTGTGAGAGAGAGGGACGCTGCTGGAGTTTGTCGTTGTTGTCGGTTCGACGAATCTGCGCGACTCGGGCACATTTTTGCCCCGGATAGCCCGATACCGTGACGGCTTCAGCGGCGGCGCAGGTTCTGTGGCCGCCGACATGGTAAAAGGACGGCACAGGACCCGTGGTGAGACGAGGTAAAGAGAGCTCCGAGGGAACAGAAAGAAAGAAAACACGGAGAAAAGCAGTCAGGGAGGAATGTGGCAAAGACAGAGACAGCGAGCTTTGAATCACAGGGCAGGCGCGTACGAAAGTTGCGGACAAAGGGAAGGAACGACAGGTGCAGGAGTCGATCGCGTGACAGAAGTTTCGGCTGCAGTCCGTCAACTTGCGCATTTGTTGGCGTTTACTCGTGTGCTCGCGTACAGGTGATTTCAATTTTAGACCTTTTTCGTATTCGAGGTGTTTTTTTTTTCGTGTTGTCGGCTGCGTGGAACAGCGGCACTGGAATGCGATCAATGCGGAGAGACGGCATCAGCTAGATGAAGCCCCATTCTCGGTAAGAACATAGGTAGGCGAAAAGATGTAAATACGACCTGGGTGAGACGAGTGGACTGGACGAAAGAGGCGCGCAAGACGGGAGCGCGGCGCGGCAATCCCTTGGCGGGTGAGATGAGAGAAGAGCGAAACGAGGCAGCATAGGAAAAAGAAAGCAAGGGGAGCTGTAGGACGAGAGGATGCGAAATGACAATGAGATGAGCCACGACGCACGAAGGTGAAAAAGAACCTAAATAAAATAGCAAAACGAAAGACGATCCTGCGCAAGGTATATTAAGACCAACCTTATTTGGGGGCGAGGCATCATCGACGTTGTGGATAAAAGTCTCGGATTTTGCGTATTACGCCCTTTCCATTTTGGGGTGTTTTTCGTCTGGTCTTGGGTGGTACCTGACTCTTAATTAGCTTGACCGTTTGCCCCTTCTCTAGGCTCTAGGGCAAGAACCGGTCCAGGAACGGCTGCAAATTTATTTCGGGCGGTCCTTTCTCAATCCGAATGGTGGACGAACACTGCTGCTCATCCTATGAACGTAGCGAATGAGCAAACACGAAAGGGGAAGGAAGAAATGAGCCAAGGAAGGAGAGCTGAAAAGTTAACAATGGCTGGCCGTACCTACTTCGTACAAGAAACCTGGGGCGAGGCGCCCTGTCGCGGTCAATTAGATGTACCCCGTCATAGATTCGGATGCACACTACGAACGGGCATTCCTCGTCCTAATGTCGGTTTCTACGCGTGTTAGTGCGTGGCTTGGAAGGCAGTGTGCCTGTCTTTTGTCGCGAAGGACCTCTGCCTAGAAAATATGTTTATTACCGCCAAGCTCTTGCCTCTACATATTACGATGAGGGAGAATGTTCAACTTAACAATCTTGCTTGGCAACGGGTGCACAACGAGATTGGTACGCAGGAGACGGTATACAAAGGCAATACGATGCAAGGAACAACTCACGGAAGCACGGCTATCTGCATTAAGGGAGAAGAAAGGAGAGGGGTGGATAGAAACGACGAAAGACAAGAGATCATGAACTGCGTAATTTCCATGCAGCGGAAGAAAAAAGAAATGGAGTGGTCGAATGTCGTCTAAGTGTCACACATACGTAGGATGTCGGGCTATGACCAACGGTTATTCTCGCTGAGTTTCTCGACCCGTGAGTCTATTACTCTTTTTAAAAAATGGACACAGTGAAACAGCCAATAGACAGCGAAGAATGGATGATAGAAAACAGAAGTTGCTCAGAGTTTGCTCGAGTTTTCCCCTTTACACTTGGCCCTAGACGAGTGGGCAAACCCCGGGCTGTTTACTCCGTATCTAATGTAGCTGGGATTTATTTGGTTGCCTTTTCAGCCAGCCCATCCAGTCGATCCAGCCCAGCGAACCAGGGGTGGGTGGCCAGCCCCAATAGAAAATCTTTGAAACACGTTTTACAGAAACCATGTCGAGCTGGGTTTTCCCTCAGCCAGTAAATAACCCAGCTAGCCAGGCGATCCCGTTCCCACAAAAACAGAACTGGGGACTTCGGCGCATGCCGTGCTCAAAGCAACCTTCCTTCGTCTTGATACTCCAACGTCCGTTCGTTCTCACGCCACCGTCGACAATTTAATGCCGGAACGCCTTCAACTCGCGGCGCCACCAGTCCTTGAAGTTCTGTGTATGCACCGGGATGCCCAGGTCTTGCAACGCCTTGGTGCTGAGATGGCAATCGTACGGCCGCTGCACGCCGCCCGGCACATTGCCGCCAGTCGGGTCGGCCTCAAGTCGGTCGAGACCAACGCCAAGGACCTCAGCAAGCACCTGGCAGATCTCGTACTTGGTGTAGCGATCCTCGCTCGAAAATTGGAGGACAGGGGGGAGGGTCGTGGAAGGATCGGCGCTGCGGTACTTTTTGGCAACGTCTATCCGTATTAGCACTTCGGGGCTATCAGACACAAAAGTGTGGGAATGATCATCATATCTTACCTTTAAGAACACGCGCAACGTCCTCCGTGTTGGTCGGGTAGCGGACGGACCAGTTGTCCATCTTGGCCGAGGCGTCCGGCGCTTGCACCTTATTGACGGTATCTAGCAGGGTATTGACGGCGCTCTCGGATGGCTTCTCGGCCTGGCCGTAGAGTACCGGTACTCTCAGGACTACGGCACGGCCCGTGGTGTCCTTGCTCTCGCTGTAAACACCCAGCACAGCCTTCTCTCCGTCCAGCTTGCTCTCGCCGTACAGGTTGGGCGGCGACGGCGTCGTATCCGCTTCGTAAGGTGCCTCGCCCTTGGTGCCGGGGAAAACGTAGTCGGTCGAGATGTAGATGAGCACAATGTTGCGGGCAGCACACAGCGACGCCAGCGACTTGGACGCGTCGATGTTGAGTCGCTTCGTACCCTGCGGGTCCTTGTCGACCTTGTCCGGGAACCGGTTGGCGGCGCAGTGGACGACCACCGAGGGTGCGACGCTCTCAAGCACAGCTTCGACGGCGCTCGCGTCCTCCAGATCGACCTTGCGGAGGGTCGTGCCATTGGCGCGCGAGAAAGCCGTGCCGGTCACGGTCCAGCCGTCATCTCCAAAGGCGCGGACCACCTGGCGGCCGAGCAGTCCCGAGGCGCCTGTGACGAGTACGTGTTTGTCGGACATTTTTAATTGAATGGGAAAATGTTAAAAAGCGGCTTATTGAATGTGTTAATTGGCATCGTTTGGTTTTGACTCCCATTCAATGCAAATGGCAGAAGGCATTTTAAAGAGCACGCAAAGAGCTCCGCCTGGTGGGGCTAAGAGCGAACAAAACTGCGGCCTACGGCGTATTGCTCGGCAGTGGTGTGCACTAAGCGCACCTTCAAACAATGGCAACTCCGGCACGACGTCATTCTCCATGTAGCGTTCACTTTTTTTTCTTCGCGCGAGTCGCCGTTCGGAACGTCACAAACACAATGAAAAATTAAACTACTTGACTACTCGCAGGTCGATATATTGCTGCTACAACATACGCTGGATCGTTTAACCGTGGCACTCCGTACCTTGAGACTCGAAGCGTGCTGCAACTATCACAGTACATTAATGCATTAAATCGTATTTATTTTTTATATCGAGGATGTTGTCCGTTATTGGCCTTCCATTTTGTTGGTTTTTGCTGGTGCAGGGTGTCCGGTTTAATAGTTTTAGTCCTGTGTAGTCATCTATTTGTTAAAATTTCAAAAGCCAACTTTTAAACATCATCAGGAAGCATACGCATATGCAATTTACTTATATATATATATATATATAAATCTCAATGTGAGGAAAACGAAACAAAAAAAAACAAGACAGAAAGCTCTATTACTCTATCCTTATACGTACTTTCCAAAAACCAAAACATATTTACCCTCACTTCACATGTCGCGCTCGCTATCTTGTGTTTGTCGTCGCTGACATGGGTTCGAACGTGCTTCAATTGTATGTAGATCTTATGTTGTATGCCCGTTATTCGCCCTGGTAATACGCGAAGTCAGCAAGTACTGCTAGTTACTTAACGTGTTCTAAAATTATGGTATGATAAAAAGTATCTTTCAGTACCACTTAAGTGGCCCCACAGACTCGTTCAGACTCGTCTGGCTCGCGTGTCAACCCCTCTTGCCGAATGCCTCGCCTTCCCCGTGACTCTTGACCCCAGGAGGAAGCGCCCAGAATCCCTTGGCATCTCTTTCATTGTCGCCTGCCACCAGGCAAGGCATTTTCTTTCTCTTGCAGTTTCCTCCCCGTCCCCCTCCTTTTTGTCTTTCTAATCAGACAATTTGCATGACACTTTCCGACTTTTCAATTTTCGATCCTTTTTTGTCTTTTATCTTTCCTGCCTGCTGTCCTTTTACGTCCTTCCTTTTCTATTCTGCTGCCTCCAACCTCTCCTCTTCTCCTCTCCCAACCGCCCGGACTCGCTCCAAGTTCAAATACGGCCCCATCTCCTAATCGCCTCCGTCATCGCACTCGATTATTTCGACATCGCCAGCAAACGTCTCCCAACACTCACGACTGCCTCAATCCCGATTACCCTCTATCTACAACAACCATGAGTGGTGCCAAGCAACGGTTAATGTCTGAGCTGAATGCTCTGCAAAAAGAGAAATGGCTGAACATTGAGGTTTGTCGCCGAAAGTCCACCGTCTCTTCTCCGATGGGATGCCCATCGAGCACGCGATGAATTTGCTCGCTAACGTCTAATCCACCCCTCAGGCCGATGACCTCTTCCGGTGGCGTGTCAGTCTGATGATCATCAACCCGGATAGCGACTTCTACGGTGGCTATTTCAATGTGAGTTGGAATGCTGCGGCTGGCCAGACGGCTGAGATACAAGCGAGAGACTCAAGTGAATTCTGCGACAAGTGCAGCATGCTAATGTGACGATATGACTCCAGGGCGAGATCCGCTTCTCGACCGACTACCCATACAAACCCCCCGTCTTCCGCTTCACGCCGACTATCTTCCACCCCAACGTGTATCCCGACGGCCGCCTTTGTATCTCCATCCTCCACAACCCCGGAGACGACATCATGTCCGGGGAGCAGGCCGGCGAGCGCTGGTCACCGCTCCAAGGCGTCGAGTCTGTCATGCTCTCCATCTTGCTGTTGCTGGACAACCCCGAGATCAACTCGCCCGCCAACGTCGACGCCAGCGTCTTGTACCGTGACCAGTACGCCCAGTACCGTGTGCGTGCGGCTGCGGCTGTCGAGCGGTCCAAGCGTGATATCCCCGACGGCTTCGTTATGCCCACCACCTTTGTCGAGGAGCCGCCGGCCAAGAAACAGGACAACGACGACGCCTTCTGGGCCGAGAGCGACGACGAGGAGCTGGACTTTGGCAGCGACAGCGACGAGGAGGTTGGACCGGACGACGACGATGACGACGACAGGGAAGATGAGAGTGAAGACGACCACACGGACTAAAGAGGATATTATGGCCTCGACTCTGTCCGACCTGCACCTCGTTTTCTTTTGCTCTCCCACTTCCCATCCTTTTCAGCGTGGTGTTTCGGCTTTTGCGCTTCATTTCCCTGGTGTCTTCGGCTATATCTCTGCCCTCTTATTTGAAGGGACACTGTCTCATTCTATTGCATAGCGCACATACGGGGTGGTGTTTGACTTTTGATCTTTGTATATGATTCTGTGCTTTTTCAGGCGTTTTCCAAGGGGTTTTGTTATTCCTGGTACCAGGAAAGATCATATGCAGGTTTAGTGTTTATATCTGTGTTAGAAATAGACCGCTTCATACTTTATTCTCTCTCTCACGCGCTGACATTCGGACACTGCATGTTCCCCGTACTTCCCCTGGCTTTCCACAGAGCGTGGTCGGCATACAGACTCTGGGTGCAGTATCTTTTCCCTAACACAACTGGACTTAGCTTTTGAGTTGGCATCTCTGCCCAATCAGAGCCGACTGCCACAGGTGAGTGTCCCCGAACTTAGCGAGTCGTATGGTACAAAATGAGCCGCTAACCCACTCCGGCTCTCTAAACCGCTGCTGCAAGGCTTCCAAAAGCCCGCCCATTGCCGCCCACTTTTCGCACAATGAGGCGAAGTTCGTTTCATTGCCGCCTGCAGCGAAAATACATCGAGCTACCAAAGCCAACGTCACCACACATCAACTCTCACCTATCACACGTATCTCAACGCACGTCCCTGGCTCTTCCAACGGTTGCGATCCTGATCCTAATAAAACAACCGCTCTTAATCTAGCACCGCACAGCATTTCGTCTCCAGACATTTTTATTTACAGCTAGCATCGTTCTTGCTCTTCGTTTAGTTCTTTTTGTCGTTGCTCTTTTGCTGCCTAGCTGCGTCGAAGCTTGGGGGCCAGCCCAAAACAGCTCCCCTCTTTTCTCCCTCGCCTGTCGCACTTCCCATTTCTGTTTGTTTGAAAGCGTTCGCACTTCCTTCTATCGCCAATCGCGCCTTCAAGCCCACCGCACCGCCATTCCGTCGCCGCCGCTACTACAGACGACGACATTTTGAGCGGAGCCGCCGAAGGTACCGTAGCCGAGCCTTCCTGCTTCCTCGTCGCGACGTTTTCTTTCCATCGACGCAGCCCGATCTTCTCAACAGCGTCCGTCTTCCTAGACACAGCTTGCAGCTGTGTGCTGCTCGCTGCTGCCAACACTCGTCATTCCTGCTCTCCGATATCCTCTTCAGTACACGATTGCCGCCGTCATGGAGGATCCTCCCGAATCCGCCATTGCAGAGGTCTGCGAGTTTGCCAACCTCGACCCTGTTGGCGACCGCAACCTCGTCATAGCTGCTCTTAAAGTTGGTTGCTCCTACCGAACGCCGAGTCGCTGCTTCCTGTTCCCTTGCCATCCTGTCGCAGCTTCCCAAACGGGTCTTTAGCTGGCGCGAGGCAAGAGCGAGGCAACGTCACATAAACATAAACACCCGCAATGCTGACCATATCCGCTTCTTTCCATCCAGGCCAAGTCTGGCAGTGTTCAGGATGTCGTCCTTTCTTTCTACGATGACCCATCAAAGGTGCGGTACTCCATGAGGATATGTGACCCCCACTTGCTCTTCACTTCTATGCAGCTAGCTCTAACATACCATCTTCGCACTGTTTTTAGTTCCGACAAACATATACTTGGGACGAGACATCGTTTACTGGCGATCGCGACAGCTTCAACAATACCCCACTTCCTAGTTTTAATATCCAAGGACCCGACGACAACGCCTCATCCATTATCCACGGCATCTCCCCTGCTCAATTCCATTCCGTCCCACCATCTCGTCCACCATCGCGAGCCCAATCGCCACTTAGTAGGATGACCGACTGGACTGCAAGCGACGTGGGCGCTCCCACGTCTATGCTCCAGGCTGACGAGGACCTGGAGAGGGCGCTGGCCGAGTCAGCCGCCATGGCCGGCACCACCCATGCACCGCAAGAGACTGGTATCACCATGTCTTACGATGCGGCAGTCCCGACTGAGCTTCCCTTTTTTGGACCGGCCAACCGAGACGTATATGACCCTGATCAATGGGCCATGGTTCGCGCCAGCCCCGAGGTTCTAGAACCCCCACCATCTGGCCGCAAACGAGAACACGGCGTCCCGGTGTTTTTGCGTAATCGGCGGTCAGGCACAGAGGCGTCGGCGCTAGGTGCGCTTCTCACAATTCTCCATGCCATACCTGCCGCCCGCAACGCACTACTACGTTCAGGACGGCAGCCGGCCACGTACGGCCAGAACTCGGAGTGGTGGAAGGGTGGCCGGATACAGCCACTTGGTGTACCCGACAACGATGGCAGCATTCGTATGGCGACGTCAGCAGCGGCAACGGCGGGAATGACCACAGTCATTTCTGTTGACAGCGACGAAGACGACACGAGCAATAGTTCCATGGCTGACGGCGGCCGACTTGAGAGTGGTCCTAGGATGAACTCGGCGTTTGCCCGCGAGTACGTCGAGGAGATGCACAGGCTGATGGCCTTCCTCGACAGCACCGACCGCGCATACGGTACTGCCGACAATCTCGCCGACACGGCGGTGATGAGGGAGTGCTATGGCATGGAGATGAGCCAAAGGTTCTTTGAAGCTGCGCGGCGATTGGATCTACCAGAGATCCTGCAAACCTTCTTCTGTGACGTTCAGTTGATGGGCATCAAGCACTTGGGCGTTCCCCTTCGTTCTGAGTCGTATGCGATACTCGAAATAAAGGTGGATGGCGACAACGTCCCATTCGGCCTGCACGATCTGTACAGTGCCATTGACGCCATTTATTGGGAAGATCTCTACCGTTTTGATCCCAACGTTTCACATATTAACGTCCCTGAAGCTAGCATGGCTGTCTTGGCGAAGGTTGCCCCGGTGCAGATTTTGCGCCTGAGTACGAACAGGCAGGTGCCGTTCATAGAACCTTTTGACGTTCCCGAGGTGCTCTACACCGATCGCTACATGGGCGAGAACGCATCGCGGGCTCTGGAGATTCAGGTACAACTTCAGAAAGTATACGATACTATTCGGAAAATCGACGCGGCCATGCGGGTCGCCACTACATTCAACGACCATTCGTCAGCCCCCCACACCGTCGTCAGGGATCGAGTCGTCCTGTCGGACCAGGCAATTGCGTTTGCCATTCAGAAAGAATGGCAGTACCGTGCGGAGATGGTATGGGGTCGATACAAAGCGGCACAAAATACGCCCGAATCCTTTGATTACAACGAAGCCCAAATCTACGCGGCAGAGCCGGTAACCGATGAGGAGAAGACAACGCTCCGGACACTCCAGACCGAGATCGCGGTTCACCGGCAAAAACTAATCAGCATACAGAAGAGAGTTCAAAGTAGGTCAATCACCGCGAACTGAACTTGGAATTTATCGCCGTTTTACTAACAGTCAGCTTTGTAGAACTGCAGTTTGAGCGACAAGCCCTTGTCGAGCTTTCTCGACGACTCCGGCGGAAGTATACTGTTCCTTCCGAGAAGCAGAATTGGAGCCCGACGAGTAAATACTCACTACGTGGCGTCATCGTGTCGCCCGACAAGTTCTATTTCTGCCGACGTGAAGCGCAGCCGAAGCCGGAACAAGAGCCAGAGCTACAGTCTCATCCCTTGGACGAAGAAGCCAGTGAGCGCGGCGGCGATACCAAAGTCGAAGCGGAAGTCAAGGGCAAGGGGAAGGGAACGGAACAGAACCCTGAGCCGGCACTGTCCACATCCCCTACTACCACGGCAACAGGCGACCAGTGGTGGATGGCTTCCTACAACGGCAGGGATGCTTCGCCCATCACCATCCAGAAAACGACCGTGGATGTTGCTCGCGGATCGGTCTTTCAGGAAACGGAGACGCCAATTCTGGTGTACAGCAACGCTGCGTCACTCGCCGAGGAGAATGTGGCCCTGCCCGACGCACTTCGGACATTTGTCCGGTTCGACAACCGCTTTTTCAAACAGGAAATGCTGGAAGAGAGCCCGCGCGACAAGAAGCGCCAGCCCGTCGAAGAGCCCTCGCCGACGTCTCCTTTAAAGCGTCAGCAGAGAGCTAATAGCATTGACTCCATGGCCAGCAACATGGCGTCCCTGGGCGAGTATTCGGACCGTGACATGGAAGATGTACCGCTCCTTAACGACGACCGGTTCACCATAGATATGGACGAGGGTGTGTTCGCTAGAGGCGCCGGCAGCGGGTATGATGTACACGAGTGGACATTGAACCGGACCATGGATGAAGCCATCACTAAGAGGGCGGGAACCGATGGAATGGACTCTGCCGAACCGGTACTGCCCCAACGGGAGGTGGACACATTGCCTGGGTATGACGACGCCGTGGCAGACTCAGCACCCATACCAGTGGCCACGGATACCAAACAGGAGCATAGAGGGTCTCTGGGCACGGAGATGGTTCAGCGAGCTATCCACGGCAGCGACAAGAACTGCATTAACGGCACAAATCTGGTCGATACACCAAACGTCGCGCATGGTGCAGACGCTAGCCTGGAGACGCCTCGTGCTACGGCCAGCGTTCCCGACCTCATCGACTTCGACCAGAGCCAGATGCAAGAACGATCACAGTCACCAGGACAGATGCTACCACCACCGCCGCCCCGAATTAAGAAGCCGCAGCAGGCACATCAAAATGATGGTGCGATGCAGCTGCTCGCTGACTGGGACAATCCGGAGGGCCGTTATGTAGGCCACGCGGAGGATGCTGCAGACGGGGCATGAACATGCACGAACGAAGACAAAAGGGAAATATCAAAACATAGAGGGTATCTATTACATGAAAACACTAATACATGATACATCGAATTGGTTCAGGTCAACGACGAAGCGAGCATTTTGGGGCATTTTTCTCTCTCTTTTTTTAAAAATTTGTTGTTTTGGACATGCAAGCTCAAGTATGTTGGTAAGTTATTGCCACTTTTCAAAGGCAGTCATTGTCCTTCGAACTGGGCACTTGATGCGGCTATTTTCGTTTTGTCACTGCTTTCGTTTTGGGCGCTGCTTATTTCTTATCCCGTCGTTTTGTTTACAAAATATTTCTCTACACACTCGATGTTTATCAATTTTCATTATTTGGGTTTGATTTTGTAGAACCGCTTTTATTTACCTGCCCGTTCTACTGTTCATATTCACACTCTACTTGCTCTCGTTGACAATCTTCTGGACCGTGGCGACAGTGCCGTCGGGAGAGCCGGCTTCGGCGGCCAGGACCTTGCCGGACTTGTCAATCACGAACACGCCACGCACGGCCGAGGTGATGGGCGATTTGCGCAGGCCGATGGCGCCGATCAGTGTCTGCGCCGGATCGCACAGCAGGGGGTACGGCAGCTTCTGGTTGTTCTTGAACTTGGTGTTGGCCTCGAGCGTGTCGTGGGACAGGCCATAAATGGAGAGGCCGCTCGCCGTCAGCGGCTCGTACTCGTCGCGGAACTTGCATGCTTGCTTGGTGCCTATTCCGTTAGACTTTTTTATTTCCTTTATTTCCTCTATTTTTTCTTTTTCAAAAAGGGACGAGATGTGTGGACGTACATCCCGGCGTGGACGCCTTGGGATATGTGAAGATGACAACGCCGGACTTGCTGGCCTCGACAAGAGCCTTGAGCGTCGTCTTGGTGCCGTCGTTGATCTCGACCTCGCCGCCAAAGCCCTCGAGGTCAATGGTAGAGCCGACTTCCGGGAACGGCGGTGCGGGCGCGGACACGTCCTTGGGTTTCTTAGCAACGGCCTTGGGGACTTTCTCTGCCTTTGCAGGCTTCTCTGTCTCTGCCTTGGCGGCCTTGGGCTTGGGAGCTGCCTTGGCCGCCTTCTTGACGGGCGCAACAGGCGCCGCCTCAGGCGCCTTGCGCTTGCGCAGCTCCATAGGCATGATGTGTGGAAGTGAAATGGGTGAGGATGACGTTGATTGGGAGTAACAGGAGATCAAGGAAATGGGAGATGTGCGCAGTGAAGAGCGCGAGAGGAAAAATCGATGGCGCAATGTAGTGTTACAAAGCTTCAAGATGGACGGGATGAAATTGGAAATGTGTAAGCAATAATCACGAGTTGTTGACTGACAAAGGTGGTGTGAAGTCAAAAGAGAAAAGTAAAGAAGAAGAGAAAGTAAATGAAAGCTGGTTTGAGAGGAACGGGGAGCGGGAAAGGGAGTCAGAAGGACCGAGGAATTGCGTCGACGAGGAGATGGCTGGGGGAGCTAGGAAGAGCGCAAGGCGATGCGAACGTGGGTGGCGCGCATGCGCCAGACGGTGAGAGAGCAGTCTAGGCCCTGATTTGGTCCTAGTCAGGGGAGACGCTTTTCTACACAACGGCTGTAGCCAATCGCCTGGGAAAGAGCCAAGGTAAGCCAACCAGGGGCGGCAAGGCTCTTTCCCAACAGGGCGGGCTGGAAAGGAAAAGCTGCAGAGTACCGGAGAGGGAAGGAAGGAAGAGAGGTCAAGGCAGCATGGAAGTAGGGGCTAAATCGAAGCTCACAGCGGAAATACGAACAGAGCGGCAACAAGACAGAGATACTTACAGCCATAATGATTGTTATTGAAATTATGGAGGTTTATAGGGATCTTATCTCAAAGTATTAATCAGCTAGGGGGTGAACAGGCGAAAGAGAGCAACTGTTGAGCGAGATGTAAATGTAAAACTACAGAGTACAGAAGGAAGGAGCATTTTCACTTGGGTGTCCTTGCCTTATATGCTCCTTGTAGAGAGCAACGACCGGAACCGGCAGAGTCCGCGTTTGCGAAGGCAGTTCAGACATCGACAGAGTGAGCCATACACAAGGACATGACCCGGCGGCCGCACCCGCCCTGGGACGGCCAATTCGATAGTTCTCCGTTTTTCAGTGGATGCCATCATTCGGTAGCATTGTTGCGAGCGATTTTAGCGCGCGTATTTGTTGATTCTAAGGTCTTATGTCCGCTAGGGCCACTTGGACCAAAACATACCAGTGGGCCAATCAGGTGTTGCGCATTCTGAACACTGTCATCGCGGACTGGCTGTCAGTCCGCTGCCAGCTGGCACCCCACTTTTCGCCTTTTCGGCTGCGGAAGAACGAGCATCGCGAAAATCGAGCTTCGTCCATCGAACAAGCGAACAACGTCACGTCGGGATCAATTGGAAACTCCACGACTGCCCTTTCGACGACATCTTACCATCCGCCACGGTCGTTCACTTGAACAATCTGTCGTCTGTTCGTCAACCTATCGCATCAATGGCTTCCAAGGCGGCCGCAAAGGCCGTCACCTCGGCGAGCCACGTCGTCAGCATTTCCCAGGTAGGTCGTCGCGGGTTTCCTCCACCAGCGACGAACTCCCACTGACATCGCCCAGAAACAAACTCTCCAGAGCAAGGGAATCTGGGAAGGCTTCCGCCGCCTCATGGCTATTGACAAGAACCGCTCCAACGGTGTGCCCCTCAACCCTTACTACCGTACCCCGGCTCCTGGTCAGCAGGATCCCCTCCTCGTCACCGACCCCGTCACCGTCCCCGCTGGCGACATTGCCGGCAACCCCTACTGGAAGCGCGACGCTCGCCGCAACTACCCGCGCCTCAGCACAGTCAGTCAGGCCGACGCCGTTGCCCTGCTGACGGTCGGCAGCGCTGCTACCCCCAAGACGGAGCTGATTGGCGAGGCTGGCTCGAAGGCGCTCGTTGCTGCCACGGAGGCCGGCAAGACGGAGGGCCTTGGTGCGTTCCTGGCCAAGACACCGTCGACTAGCTCGCCCGTTGCTACCGACTTGTTCGTCGACGGCCTGCCGCCGCTGCCAAGCGGACAGAGCCTGAACAGTGGCGCATGGGACGTGCACAAGTATGAGCTGGTCTCGGAGCAATCATATCCCGAAGAGTACGTACAGATCCCCCCTGTCACATACAAATGCCCTCGTATACACCGACGAGCGTCTATGTTTGTCAATGCTAACATTATACAGGTACCCGTGCCGAGTGTTCCAGTAAACGGTCTCGCGCTTTTGGTTTTGTTTGTTTGATGGTTGGTTGGTGTGTGTGTACATAATTTCATATTGAGAACAGAGGAGCAAGAAGTAGTAAGCGCAAATAATATATCTTATCTGACAGAATAAGAATTTGTTCACGTCGCGACCTCTATCCTAGAAACCTCGGTGTAAAACCTGCAAAACCAAATCTACCTGCAGGCCCAATATTCCGCTTTCTAATGGCATGTGTGGGAATCCAAAGCTATCCGACCCCGTCCGCTCTGGCCATATCCAGCCATTCGTCCGAAATGTAAATGCTGCAGAAAAAGAAAAGAAACGCCGTTGACGCCGATATCCATGCTGTCGTGCAATCGTGCCGTGAGATGCCTTTAACTCGATGCTTCCGGTGTCGCTGTCGTTGTAACAGAGGCTGCGGCAGCCGGTGTACTGCCCGACAGCTCGACAACCATCTTCTCCAGCACCCGTGCCTTGGCCTGTGCTCGCTTCACACGGTCATCGACGTCGTTGACAGCCTCGTCTGTGTTGGCTGTCGGCAGTGTGCCAGGCTCGACCAGCGCATAAAAGGTGCGCAGATTTTTCAGGAGACGGGCGTTGGTTCCCGGCCTGGACGTCCCGGCCTTACCGAGTGCCAAGTGGGACCACACGACCGCCTTGCCCTGCAGCCGGCCGGCCTCGACAAACTTTTTAAAGCCGTTTTCAAGGCCGAGCGTGCGGCCCTCGATTTTGCCGGCGCGCTCGCCGTCGGCATGGCCCTGGCGGAACCCATCTTCGTAAAAGTCGTCCTCTAGAGAAAAGAGATCATTGAACGGGTCGTCCGTATTGGTCGCCATTGGAACTAGTTTACGTTCAGTCTGTGTTGGTGATTTGACGGGGTTTGTCTTTCATATCGATGTGAAAGTCGCAGTGGCGTTTGCGGCGTGTGGTTTTGTAGTATTTGTAAGGCGCTCACGTGACCCGCCTTTTTGATGATACCCCGGGGCCTCTAGTATCATGTAAAGTTACCTTTTTGCTTCGTTTTTCAATAAGGGAAACACTGCTACTTTTAGGAGAATGTCCAAGATGGCTTTTCAATCCAATCCTACAGACTTTTGGCACGAATGTCACGTAAAGTAAAACCCGCCGTTTTGCAACCTTCCCGTTCGAGACGCCAACTCCAGGAATAATACGAGGCGCGATATTTGCCTCAGAGCGATAGGCATAGCCTCCTTACACCTCACATATTTTTTTCTTCTTCTTTACTTTTTTCACTTTATAACCCTAGCTTTAGCACCGTACTGGCTGGAATGCGTTCTTCGACGTGAGTTTCTGATCATCACCATCCCGCGCTCCACTGCTGGGCGACGGGCTTCAGTGACGGCTTTTGCCATTAGTGGGTCAAGGCCTAAATCCGATGACACCAACACACCCTGTAGCACAACCCCTCCTCGCCCTCACATTTAGACTCCCCACACAAATTTTCTGACGTTTTGCGCCAGCGCAACTTTTGCCCTTTGTGCCTGGTGACTCTTTCTGCTTCTGGAACACACCCGCTTGCCCCAAAAAGAAAGAGTCACACTTCACCTGTCTCGTCGCCTCCTCTTTCCCGTCCCCTGTTGTTTACCACCTGCGTATGTTTTGCCATCGTTTATATTTGCAGCTCAGCTCGACTTGGCCACCGCCACTTTGTTATTTCTACGTCGTCTTCTTTCTTTTCGTTTGATCACCTCCTGGCGCCTTATCCCTCCTTCACTTCGAATTCTCCACGATCACCGATCTCAGCTTATCGACGTTCGCCATGGCTGACTCCGACAACGTCATCCGTCCCATCGAGGGCAAGAAGAACGTTCTGATCACCAGTGCTGTACGTATCGCGCCCTCCGAGTCCTCCATTTATGCTCCGGGGTTCTGCCGAGCTTCATGGACCTACTCTTGGAAATTTATGCTAACATATACTTTCCCCAGCTACCATACGTCAACAACGTGCCTCATGTACGTCCGCACACACCAATTCTTTAGAGAAGCTCATAAACGAGTCTGGTACTAACAACACAGCTCGGCAACATTATCGGATCAACGCTCTCGGCCGACTGTTTCTCCCGCTATTCCAAGCAGCGCGGCAACCCGACGCTCTACATCTGCGGTACCGACGAGTACGGAACGGCGACCGAGACAAAGGCCCTCGAGGAGGGTGTCACGCCCCGTGAGCTCTGCGACAAGTTCCACAAGCTACACAAGCAGATCTACGATGACTTTCAGATCAACTTTGACTACTTCGGCCGTACCAGCACGGACAACCACACCAAGATTGTCCAGGAGATGTTTTTGCGGCTGTGGGAGAACAAGTGGCTCGATGAGCGCGTCACCACCCAGCCTTACTGTGAGACTCATGGCGCTTTCTTAGCCGACCGCTTTGTCGAGGGCACCTGCCCGCGCTGTGGCTACGATGATGCCCGCGGCGACCAGTGCGACCAGTGCGGCAACCTGCTCGACCCATTTGAGCTGATCAACCCGCGCTGCAAGGTCTGCAAAGTCAACCAGCCGCCCGTGCCCCGGGACACCAAGCACATCTTCCTCGCTCTGGACCGCCTCCAGCCTCAGATGGACGAGTGGTTCGCCAAGGCAAGCAAGGAGGGCAAGTGGTCGCCCAATTCCATTGCCATTACCAAGTCGTGGCTGGACAAGGGTCTCGAGGGCCGTTCGATTACGCGCGATCTCAAGTGGGGTGTGCCGGTGCCGCTGCCCGGCTACGAGGGCAAGGTGATTTACGTGTGGTTTGATGCTTGCATTGGCTACCCGTCCATTACGTCGTGCTATTCAGAGAAATACTGGGAGGAGTGGTGGAAGACCGGAGACGTCAAGCTGTACCAGTTCATGGGCAAGGACAACACGCCGTTCCACGCGGTGACGTTCCCTGCGAGCCAGCTTGGCACGGGCGACAAATGGAACATGGTACACAACATTTCGACGACTGAGTACCTCAACTACGAGAACACGAAGTTCTCCAAGTCGCGATCGGTTGGCGTGTTCGGTGACCAGGCAAAGGACACGGGCATCCCGACGTCCGTGTTCCGCTACTACCTACTGAGCTCGCGGCCCGAGAGCAGCGACACGCAGTTTGAGTGGAGCTCGTTTGTGCAGGCCAACAACTCGATCCTGCTGGCCAATATCGGCAACTTTGTCAACCGCATTGTCAAGTTTGTCAATGCCAAGTTTGACGGCGTGGTACCCGAATACTCCACGTCGATCAAGGACGAGTCCTTTGACTTTGCCGCGTGGGTCGGTGATGTCCAGAAGCTGCTTGACGAGTACATCTTGGACATGGACGCCGTCCACCTGCGCAGCGGCGTTGAGAAGGCCACGGCCGTCTCGAGCCAGGGCAACACACTTCTGCAGTACCGCCTCGACAATGCCAGCCTGGAGAAGGAACCTGAGCGCACCAAGGCCGTCATTGGCTATGCGCTGTCTCTCTGCGGCCTGCTGGCGTCCATCCTGTCGCCCTTCACGCCTTCGACGTCCGATTCGATTGCCGAGCAGCTCAACGTTCCCCTGCCGCTGATCCCGGACACCTTTGATCCTGGCTTCATCAAGCCGGGCCATAAGATCGGCAAGGCTGCGTACCTGTTTTCGCGTATCGACGAGAAGAAGGTGGCCGAGTGGAAAGAAAAGTTTGGTGGCACGTCCGAGACGCGGGAGGCCGAGGCCGCGGCCAAGGCGAAGAAGCAGGCTGACAAGGAAAAGAAGAAGGCCAAGAAGGCGGCATCTAAGGCGGCTGAGGCCGGGAAAAAAGACGGTGAGGCTGAGCCTGTCGACGCGGCGACCGTCGCCACGGGCGAGGCCAGGGAGCTTCCGGTGCGGGAGAAGCCGGTGGAGAAATAGATAAACATGGTTTTGCGGAAGCGGGGTGTCGGGCGTCTGCGTAGAGTGGATTCGGGTGACCAGCATGGCGTTGGTGCAACGAGCGTGCCGAGTCTTGTATTTGTCTTTATATATTTGGGTTCAGGGAGGATAGTATTCGGCTGGATATTTATTGGGAATTTACGAGCCGGATATAAGAAGATACATGAGAAAAATAGATGCAAGTGAAAGTACGAACTGTGAGGCCTTTTTGAAGGGATACAAAGGTATGCCAGAACATGGCTACATACTACAAGTGGTGACACTACAGGACACATACAAGAGACAGATGGGGTATGTATGGTATGGGTGGCAGATGGAGATGCCGCCCTGCTAAAGAGCCTGTCAGTGCTTGCGTCTTTGTTACGAGTATGATGTGTATCTCGTTACTACTAGTCCACTTTCTCGGAGAATTTCCAGACTCTCCCAAGCTGCCAACGTCGGGTTGCCTATTGTAGATAAAACCGATGATGCAACTCGCGGCAGCTGACAGCATGAAGGTGGCGTTTTCGTTTCTCTCCTCGTACGACGTCCAACTCCTCTCAAGCCAGGTCAATGTAGCCCAGAACTCAAGGCTGGGCAGCAGCAGCGTCTTGCCAGAGGGAATCATGTTGCCGATTACCCCATTAAGTTTGGATATTTGCGATTGCGGCAGCTGTTTCTCCTCTAATACGGAGAAGGCCACTTGGAGGCCGTGGACAATGAGGGATTTGCCATACAACGTAGCGATTGATAGCAACAAGACGTATGCCTAGTACCGCCAGATCCGGCACGTGAGAGGGAAAGGAGAGGCCAGTACACGGACACATGGCGCGCCAGATATAATGAGGACCCGCGTCTGCCGTGCGTTGCGTATCCTTGTTTCCCCCGCATTTTGGCTGTCTCCTCTCTGCGGCGCGGTATGCGACATTTGACATATGTCGAGACCACCGAGCGCATATCCACATTTGTATCTTATTCTATGAGCATCACTCCTCAAACCTGAGAAACAGACGTAGCAGATGACAAATTCAGGGACCACCACTACCAAAAAAAAAAAAAAAAAAAAAAAAAAAAAAAAAAAAAAAAAAAAATAAATTGAACCAATGTGGCGGGGTTTGCTACTTGTTGTTTGCGGCTGTTCCTGGATTCAGGGAGGGAAGGGTAAGGGTCGTTAAAGAACGAGGTATTGTGTGAGAGAAAGAGGAGGTTGAAAGAGGCACGCGGACTTAAAACTGGGAAAGCGGGGAAGCGCGCTGTGCAAGAAAGCTGGTAAAACGGCTCGAACGGGTGTTGTCAAAGTGGTGGTTGCAAGCGGTTGGAGTTTGTTGTGGTGTTGTTCATGGTTGCATGCAGGGGGGACGAAACAGTGTGTGTGATCGGTTAGATGGACAAATTGACAGGCGCCCGTTCACTCCTTCCTGCGCTACCCATCGGAAAACTGTCCGTACTTTCCAAAACTTTGACCTTTGAATTGTTTGATTATGTTTATAGAAAATTGTCAAGTACTGTGTCACACGAACGAAGAAGCAAAGCAAAAGGGAAAGAACGACTTGTCCCTGTTGCTCTGCGTCGTTCTGAGCCTCACGGAGAAGAGGAAGTCGCCCCGGGTGTGGGGTGGATTCCCGCTGGGTGGGTGCCTTCCGTTTTAGTGCCTTGTAACTTGCGTCTGTTGTTCGGGCACAGCAAGAGCAACCGCCGTTGGGGTGCTGCTTCCCTCGCCTGCAAAGCCTTCGCTGGCCGAGATCCCCGCGGTGCCTTCTCCTCTTTCCATCTCTCCTTTACAGTCTTCCTAAATTCCTCTTTCTTGCTCCTGCATCGTCATTTTTGGGTGTCATCGTATTGTTTGCGTCCCATTCTGCGCCTCACTGTTTTCTGCCTTTTGATATTTTTCCTTGCTTTTAGCGCCGGTCTCCGCTTTTCGGCAATAGGCCCCAGGCCGGAGGGTGCAAGGCTGAAGAGCAGGCGAGAAGAGGAGAGCAGCAAAAGGCAACAACCAGACGAAAGGCCAAAGGCTTCTCCAACGACGAGACGTTCGGACTCGACTCAATCTCAGCTTCAGCATTCGCCGACACCTCACCACAGTAACACGGCCAGGCCACGCGCTCGCTGTCAGTTACCCGGTCAGGGCCGTTCCCTTCCTTCGCCGCCCTAGCCCGACTCCGGTTTGAGACTTACACGAGCCTTTTCGTCGCCAGCAACCGAACGCGCTCCACAAGCTTTTGTTTGCTAATTCCTCTATTTTTTTCACTCGTCACAGCAGCCCCGGTTACTAAACTGTGGGGACGACGTTCACATACTGCAGCTTGTGTTTGCGACCGCTCGACCTCTGACTCTTTATCTGTGGAGGAACGTCCAATTTCTAGGGTGTGCCCTCTTCTTCCCTCTTTTTCTCCCATCGTCTCTCCCTCTCTTCCTCAAGGCATAAGGAGCAGGGACAGTTTAACGTCTTTTGCAGCTCGGCACAGCTGCTCTCGTTCCCTCCCTCTTCTTCCTCGGCTCGGAGCTCTCGCCAGCTACTTCTCCGCCAATGGCAGCTTCGTTGTCCTTGATTGTGCGCCCGGCCGTGGCCCACACGGCCATCCCGCTGCCAGCTGCTGTTGAGCGGCTATCCCGTCACTGCGTGCGTCGTGTTTGTGGTAAGTACTGCCGCGCAGCACTCAGTTCCCAGAGCTGTTGGCCCCGCAGGTTGCACACGACCTAACTTGCATCTCAGACAACGCGCCCACTCGTAAATGGCACAACTCGCTTGGTCATTCCCGTCGCACGGCGGCATCGTCCGTGTCAACCTTATCCTCGTCTTCCTCACTTGCCCTGACCGTGCTGCCCCGCCACACCGCCAAGTCACTGCAGCTCGTGCGCCACACGTCGGTTCTCTCTGGCCCTGCGCCTTCCCAGCCGTCCTCCACCGTCCAGACTACCGCTGCATTCTCCACCAAGGTTCTCCCACCGACCACGCCATACGCCAAGCTCACTGTGGGCGCGCCTCGTGAGATCTTCCCCAACGAGCGCCGTGTGGCCCTGACGCCGCAGAATGTCACTCTTCTCCTCAAGAAGGGCTACGGGCGCATCATTGTTGAGCGCGGTGCCGGCGCCGAGGCTGGTTTCCTCGATGCCACGTACCAGCAGGCCGGTGCCACCATTGTGGACAGCGCTGCTGCCATCTGGAAGGAGGCCGACATTGTGCTCAAGGTCCGCGGTCCGACGCTGGCCGAGGCTGGCAATGCTCGCGCCGGCCAGACCCTTATCTCATTTATTCAACCTGTTCAGAACAAAGAGCTTGTGGACCTTTTGGCTGCCCGAAAGGTCACCAGCTTCGCCATGGACATGATCCCCCGTATCTCTCGCGCCCAGGTCTTTGATGCTCTTAGTTCCATGGCCAACATTGCCGGTTACAAGGCCGTCCTCGAAGCGTCCAACCACTTTGGCCGCTTCCTGACTGGCCAGACCACCGCTGCCGGCAAGATCCCGCCCAGCAAGGTTCTCGTTATTGGTGCCGGTGTGGCTGGTCTGAGTGCCATTGTCACGGCCCGCCGTATGGGCGCCATTGTACGCGGCTTCGACACCCGGCCCGCTACCCGCGAACAGGTCCAGTCACTTGGTGCTGAGTTCATCGAGGTCGAGGGTGTTGAGGAGGATGGCTCCGGCGCCGGCGGTTACGCTAAGGAGATGTCCAAGGCGTTTCACGATGCCGAGATGAAGCTGTTTTCCGAGCAGGCCAAGGACGTTGACATTATCATTACCACGGCCCTGATTCCTGGCAAGCCTGCACCCAAGCTGCTTCCCACCTATGTCATTGACAACATGAAGCCCGGCTCTGTGATTGTCGATCTGGCGGCGGAAGCTGGCGGAAACTGCGAGCAGACTGTCCCCGGCCAGCTGGCCACGTACAAGGGCATCACCATTATCGGTTACACTGACATGCCCTCGCGCCTTCCTACCCAGTCCTCCACACTGTACTCAAACAACGTTACCAAGTTCCTGCTGTCCATGGCTCCTATGGAGAAAGAATATGGCGTCGACTTTGCTGACGAGGTCGTCCGCGGTTCCATTGTCACGCAAAACGGCGAGGTTGTCCCCACGGCTCCGCGCCCTGCGCCGCCACCGCCGCCAGTCAAGCCCAAGGAGGCCGTGGTGGAGGAGGTCGTCGCCTTGACGCCCTTCCAGAAGGTCTCGCGTGAAGTCAGTCTCGTGACTGGTGGAATGACCGGTGCGCTCGCGCTCGGTAAGCTGACCGGCCCGCTGTTTATGAGCAACGCCTTCATCTTCGGTCTGGCCTCGCTTATCGGCTACCGTATTGTTTGGGGTGTCCAGCCCGCGCTGCACTCGCCCCTCATGAGCGTCACCAATGCAATTTCTGGTATGGTGGGTGTTGGTGGCTTCTTCATCCTCGGCGGTGGCTACCTGCCCGAGACCATACCGCAAATGTTCGGTGCCGCATCCGTTCTGCTGGCTTTCGTCAACATCTCGGGTGGATTTGTCATCACCAAGCGTATGCTCGACATGTTCAAGCGTCCCACTGATCCGCCAGAGTATCCTTGGCTGTACGGCATCCCCGCCACGCTCTTCACGGGTGGTTTCATTGCCGCCGCGTCAACGGGTGCTGCAGGCCTTGTCCAGGCCGGCTACCTTGTCAGCTCGCTGCTCTGCATTGGTTCCATCTCCTCTCTTGCGTCCCAGACCACCGCCCGCATGGGTAATATTCTCGGTATCCTCGGAGTCGGCTCAGGTGTTATTGCTTCGCTGCTGGCCGTTGGCTTTACCCCGGAAGTGCTCACCCAGTTCGCTGGCCTGGCCGTTGTTGGTGGTCTTGCTGGTCTCCTGATTGGTCGCCGCATCACGCCCACAGATCTTCCTCAGACCGTCGCCGCCCTGCACTCCGTCGTCGGTCTGGCTGCCGTCCTCACCAGCATCGGCAGTGTCATGGCCGATGTCAACCACGCCAGCACGCTGCACCTCGTCACGGCCTACCTGGGTGTGCTCATTGGTGGCGTTACATTCACGGGCTCCATTGTCGCCTTCATGAAGCTATCGGGCCGTGCTTCGTCGCGGCCGCTGATACTGCCGGGCCGTCATCTCATCAACTCGGGTCTGCTGGCCGGTAATGTTGCCACGATGGGTGCGTTCCTGGCCATGGCCCCCGGTTCGCCGACTATTGCTGCAGGCGCACTCGCGGCCAACACGGCCATGTCGTTCTTGAAGGGATACACGACCACAGCCGCCATTGGCGGTGCCGATATGCCCGTTGTCATTACAGTGCTGAACGCCTACAGTGGTTTCGCACTCGTGGCCGAGGGATTCATGTTGGACAATCCACTGCTCACCACAGTGGGTGCATTAATTGGTGTATCGGGTTCCATTCTGTCGTACATTATGTGCGTAGCCATGAACCGATCACTGACGAATGTGCTCTTTGGTGGCATTGGCACGGTGGCACCGACTGCCGACGGCGAGCAGAAAAAGATTGAAGGCACGGTGGTCCAGACGAACGTCGAAGAGACGGCCGAGAGTTTGGTGAATGCCGAGTCCGTCATTATCGTGGTGGGCTACGGCATGGCCGTCGCTAAAGCGCAGTACGCAATCGCCGAGATTACGCAGATGCTTCGGTCCAAGGGGGTGCAGGTGCGCTTCGCCATCCACCCGGTGGCCGGCCGCATGCCGGGTCAGTGCAACGTCCTGCTGGCCGAGGCGTCGGTGCCGTACGACATTGTGCTGGAGATGGACGAGATCAATGACGACTTTAGCGACACGGACCTGACACTGGTGATTGGCGCCAACGACACGGTCAACCCGATTGCGCTGGAGCCGGGCAGTCCGATTGCGGGCATGCCGGTGCTACACGCCTGGAAGAGCAAGCAGGTGATTGTGATGAAGCGAGGCCTGGCGAGCGGCTACGCGGACGTGCCGAACCCGATGTTCTACATGCCGGGCACGCGGATGCTCTTTGGCGATGCCAAGGTGACATGTGATGGTAAGAAGGAACCCCCATCCTGTATAAATGAGAGCATCGAAATTTGACTAACGTTGTTTGCAGCTATCAAATCCGCCATTGAGAGCAAGTAGACTGAGACTGCTAGACTAGACCGCTCCAAGAGCTACAAGAGTCATAGACCGCCCTGTAGACGTTATTCGTCTTTGCGTCGTGCAGGGATGCTAGAGTCGGGATGTGCTGTGATTCTTTTACGTTGCTGCTTTTGTTGATCGTCTTGTTCTGTTATATCTTGTCTTGTGTTGCCATAGTTTTGCTATTTCCTCTGCCGTTTACCGTTTTCCTGGATATGTACAGCGAGCTCTGCATGGCTTATTGGTGACCTGCAGACGTTGGAGGAATGAGTTGATTGATTTTAGTTGTGTCTTCTTGTTGGTCTTTGTAAATAGCAGCACCACCCAGAATCAACTGTATATTCCGTTCAAAGTAGGACGACAGCACGTACGTTTTGCAATGAATTTATGCCCGATCCTGGTCGAGGAGAGTGTGTATCGCCTCGTCCTCTCGGTCTTTTCCTTCGTTTATACTTTGAACCCGACACATTGAACAACACACCGATTGCCATCAGAATGTCTCCTCTTTCTTTCTCTCTTTCTTTGAGAGTTTTAATGCGTTTTTATTTTGTTTCCGAGATTATGACGCCTAGCACTCTTTTCACTCTGCACTCTTTGCAAGTTATCTTAAATATATACAGAATCACGTCCGTCTTGGCCGTCCCGTGCGACCCATTTTCCCGCCTATACTCTCCCTCCGCCTATTGCCGCGGCGCTGCGACGGGATCCCAGGCGTTGATCTTGGGCTTCGTGGTGCTGTAGGTCTTAAAGGCACCGCGGGTGCCGGTGAAGTTGGGGCGATGTTCGGGCACGGCCCAAGCGCGCGCGTTGGACGTGGCCATGAGAGAGTCGTTTTGCGGCGGGGTGTCGACGGTGTACGCGAGCCAGGCATGCCAGAGAGGCTCGACTTGGGAGCTGCAGGGAACAAACGAGCGAGTGTCAGCGAGCGAGCAAACAGGACGGAGATCGCAGCGAAGCGTCGCAAACCACGAGTGGTACACCAGGCAAATTAAGCACACCAGGCGCCGCAGCAAACTTACGCGTCGTAGTCCTTGTTCTTGTAATCTACCCAGCGGGTACGGACTAACGAAGTCAGTGGTCAGTCAGTACGAGTCAGTACGACTTGTAAAAGACGGTATAGACGTGGACAGAGAACATACGCGGCAGCTCTTCTTCCATGTTCTCAAAGAACTTGTTGCCGTACTTGTCGACGCCGATGAGGGTACCGGCCTTGGTATCGCCTAGGGAGGGTAGAGTCAGTATAGTCGTCGCAGACGGCCAGTAGACCGGCCGGCAGAGAGAAGGAAGACCTGGGACGCACCAATGTACTAGATGCAGAGAAGGCGGCAGTTAGCCGGGACGTTCAACGTCCGAGAGTCCTATGCCGAGACGGTCAATCGTCAATGGGGAGGCACCGCGCGCAACATACGTTCAATTGGTGCCAGTATTCCTAGAATGAAGAAACGCATGTCAGCAGAGTACTGTGAGGAGGCGGCCGGCCGTTGTCCAAGCCGTCGTGTTGTCGTGTCGTCGTGGTCGTGGTCGTTTCGTCGACTCACCTTGATACCGATCCGGCGCAGGTAGCCGAGCGTCCGCGAAATGGTCGACATGGTGTGTGTATGGATACGCGATTGTCTTTCGGGAGAAGAAGTCGTCGCTAGCGAATCGTGGTGGCCGCCGTCGTCGTCGTTGTCGTCGAGCGTGGAAGTGACGAGCGAATTGATGATGCCTCGAAATCTTTCCCGCTTGTCGGGTTTGGTGATGTCGGTGGGTCCCTTCCCCCATTGCCGCGATGGGGTGCGGGCTGACCAATCAGAGAGCTTGGTTTGCTCACCACAAAACTAGCCCAACTCTACCAGACTTCACAGCTAAGAAATACAACAGACGGGATCAACAACCGTTCGGCGGTACGTCTGCGTGTATTCTTTCCTTCAATTGGGCGTCACCTCGCCTCCTCTTCCAAACTACCGATATGATCGTCCGCAGTGCGGCGCGGAGCTCCGCACACGCTCCGCCTTCTCTTCACCTTCCTCGGCCCCGGATACAGCTCCATGAGCTCCAAAAGCCTCGAGAACGGCAAGCTTCAGCGCGACCGACTCGGCAGTGTGAGCGCTACTCGAGCTCCTTCTCACGCTCTGTGCGGTCAAAAACACAATGGGTAGCCGAGTCTTGGTCCCGCTGCTGTCGTCGCATGTCCATGTCGGCCACAACCACTGCCGCCGAGGCACCGCTGCGGCCGTCGATGGTGGCCAGCGTCGCATCCACAGCTGCGGCCGGCACTGCAGCCACAGCTGCTCTCCTGCTCGCACCCCTGGTGACCGAGCTCGACCGCATGGCGCCCCGTGTGGACATGCATGGCTCGCAAGTCCGTGTCATTGAGACGCCGGCCGAGTTTTACGAGACCCTCAAGGCCATGATTCTGGGTGCCAAGCGGCGCATTTTTCTGTCTACGCTCTACATTGGCACATCGGAGCGCGACCTCGTGGCCACGCTGCAGAGGGCCCTGCGTGCCAACCCCGACCTGACGCTGCACATCCTGACCGACGCATTGCGCGGCACCCGTGAAAGCCCACGGCCGTCGTCGGCATCGCTGCTGGCACCGCTCGTGGCCGAGTTTGGGCCCGAGCGCGTCGACATTCGCATGTACCACACGCCGAACCTCACGGGCTTGCGGAAAAAGTACATTCCGCGTCGTATCAACGAGGGCTGGGGCCTGCAGCACATGAAATTGTACGGCGTAGACGACAGCATTCTGCTGTCGGGTGCGAACCTGTCCAATGACTACTTTACGAACCGCCAGGACCGCTACCACGTGTTTTCGTCGGCCGAGCTGACGGATGCGTACTGGCAACTTCAGCGGGGCTTGGCCTCTGTCAGTTTCCGGATCGAGCCGACGCAGGCCAAGGAGGAGGGCTTCAACATGGTCTGGCCGGCGAGCAACGCGGCACCGTCGCCGTTAGAGGCGCCCACGGCGTTTGTGACGCAAGCCACGCGTGTCCTGAAGAAGCTGTTGGAGCCGACCACAGAAAACGCGACGAGTCCGCTGCTCACATACGGCGTTGAAGCGGGCGAAAAGGAGACGCGTGAAGCACCCGACACCTCCGTCTATGTCCTAGCGCAGATGACGCAGCTGCTCAAGCCCGACAGCTCGACCGAACAGCCTGCCTTGACGCACATCCTGAAGACGCTTGCCGCTCCCCAGTATGCCACGGCCTCCTCGTGGACGTTTACGGCGGGCTATTTCAACCCGGCGCCGTCGCTTACGAAGCTCCTGCTTGCCATGTCCGCCCAGGCCAACAACACTGTCATCACGGCCGCACCACAGGCAAACGGCTTCTATGGATCAGCCGGTGTCTCGTCGCTGCTGCCAGACGCCTACACGTTCCTCGCCCACCGCTTTCTGCGCGCCGTCCAGGCACAGCACCACGGCGACGCCGTTACGCTCAAGGAATGGCGGCGCGGCACTGTCGGCATGCCGGGCGGCTGGACCTACCACGCCAAGGGGCTGTGGGTGACTCTCAATCCTTCGCAGGCCGGCGGCAGGGGCCCCCTCGCCACTCTCTCTGTCATTGGCAGCTCCAACTACACAAAACGCAGCTACAGCCTCGATCTCGAGGCCAATGCGCTCATTGTCACGCGCAACGCTGCTCTGCAGCACCGTCTGGCCGACGAGCAGGCCTGGCTGCAGACGCACGCGTCTGCTGTGACGCGCGACGACTTTGCAAAGCCAGAACGGCGGGTCAGACTGCACGTGCGTCTAGCCATGTGGATTGTCCAGTTGGTGGGCGGCCAACTTTGAGTCCGGAGTGTTCCCCGAGAAAGGGAGGTCGCGAATAGGTCCAGGCCAAGGCCAGTCTCGATAGTATAGCGGAGGAACCAGGTCCGCCCAGAGAGCCGGGCCAGCTTCCAGCCATTAAAGTCGCATCCGTCAACCCGTTCTGGATGCAGTTGCGCCATCCGGGCCGCGGTGCTGGAGCTGGCTAATTGCAAAATTGGGGAAAGACGGCACGATAGAACGAATTCCCTGGACAATCTCCACAACCATATTCAGGAACGACAAGGCTACCCGGATTCCACCAATGCGACTCTTCCTCCGGAATGCGCACCGTTGTCGCTGACGTCTGTGTCGTACACCGGCGAGGACAATATATAATAGCCGGCGTTACGATGTCTCCTTTGCCTGTATGTTGTCCATTCTCGACAACGGCCGTCATTTCCTCCCCCACCTCCTCACCATGAAAGCCTTTGCTGTTCTGTCTGCTCTGGGTGTCCTGACGGGCCAGGCCGCCGCTACCATTTACTATGCTGGCGTCGCCGAGTCTGGCGGCGAGTTTGGTGTCTGGAGCGCGACGTCGACGCCTGGCGCTGGTCTGCCGGGTCGCTTTGGTGTCGACTACCAGTTCATCAGCAAATCGGCCGTCGACACGCACGTCGACCAGAACAAGGTCAATCTGTTCCGCGTGGCATTTTTGCTCGAGCGAATGTGTCCGCTGGCCACGGGTCTCGGCGCCGTTTTCAACGAGACGCACTTCTCGCTCTACAAGGAGGCCATTGACTACATCACGGTGACCAAAAAGGCGTACGCCATCCTGGACCCTCACAACTACATGCGCTACAACGACCCGTCGCAGCAGCCCATGTCCGGCAGCGTCATCGGAAACAGCTCCGACCCGATGGCCGCCACGACTGCCCAGTTTGGCGCTTTCTGGGGCGAGCTCGCCGGCCGTTTCAAAAACAACTCGCGCGTCATGTTCGGCCTCATGAATGAGCCGCACGACATGCCCTCGGAGCTCGTGCTCGCCAACAACCAGGCGGCCGTCACCGCGATTCGCGCCAGTGGCGCCACGTCCAACCTGATCCTGGCTCCCGGCAACTCCTGGACCGGCGGCCACTCCTGGGCCCAGCGCGGCGCCGAGGCCTCGTCCCAGTGGCTCAACAAGCTCCAGGACCCCAACAACAACACCGCCATCGACATCCACGAGTACCTGGACGTCGATTACAGCGGCACCCACGCTGCCTGCACTGCCGACGCAGCCACCAACCTGGCCCAGGCCACCGCCTGGCTGCGCGAGAACAACCTCAAGGCATTCATCACCGAGTTTGGCGCGTCCGACGCCACCGGCTGCGCCGACATGCTCGGCGCCATGCTCGACTACATGGCCGCCAACGACGAGTACATTGGCTGGACCGCCTGGGCTGCCGGGCCGATCTGGGGCACGGCGAGCCCCTGCTGCACCGACTCCAAGGCCTTTGGCAGCCTCGAGCCCGGCAGCAAGGCGTCCGACGGAGGACCGAGCCTCTACGATACGGTGTGGACGCCTGTGATCCAGCCCAGGGTACCGGCCAAGCTGCAGTGGACAGGCGGCGCCAGCGTCCATGGCGGGGACCTGACAGCCAGGGTGTAAGCACACGAATCATAATCATTTATAAATAATGGCCTGCGATTGGGAGAGAAGCCAAAAAAAAGAAGAAAAGGTAATATAGGACATGTACATATTATGAATCAAAAGATAAAGATGGACATTAGAATGCAAGGACTATTATAGATACGACGAATATTACGTATTGCATTTTACAAAAAATAGGCTGGATGGGGCACGTCAGCAACCGACATCTTTGTTTTCCTTTCTCATTACATCCGTGACAGAAGGAAATGCTTGCTTCTTCATCTCACTCTGATCTGCTAAGGCCGGATCGTATAGTTTCCGGCCGGGCCTGCAGGTTGGGACGAGTCCAAAGTAAGCCGCACTAACAGGGAACAAAGGACAGACATAAGTGCCATCCACATTGCGCTCGACATTTCAGCAACACAAATCCGTGGACAAATCCGTGGACCGTTTTGAAATAAAAGAAACGTAAATAAATAAACGATCACACGTATGCTCCGAAGAGATCGGTCAATAAAACTCCGAAATAGAACCTCACTAGAATACACCATCGAAGAAAAAAAGAAGAGAAAAAAAACGTAAAAGCAAACGTTTGCAAGTTGCATGGCAACATTTGAATTGATGGAGAACGTCTGGTGCTCCTTCGTGTCCAGTTCCAACCGTCCCCTGTCGTTGGCCCCCTCTTTCCTGCCGCCCTAAGGCCGGGAAACCCAGCATCCGGCCTTTGCGCCGCCCCACCAAAATAATACAGCAAAAGCGAACACTCAAAGAAGCGCCGACAAGGAGGTCTTCTGGTAGACGGGATTGGTTGAAGCAACCATTGCTTTTCTTTACCGTTTCTTTTTTAAATCTGCCAGTCCTTGCCTACGTCTGTCCAATCCTTTTATTGGTACCCTGTTCGGATCGCTGTGTAGCCGTACTTGAAACGAAACATTTTCATATTTTTATCTTTTATTTCATCTTTTATTTTTATTCCGGTTTTCTTCCCGTGCCCATCAGACCCACGTCCCGGAGAGGAGAATGGAACAGAACACGACCCATCCAGCGTCTTCTTACACCTCACACCCAACCTCATCACAGCTTCACACAGTGATGTTGACTGTTTGCTGAGGAGACAAAGACGAATCGGAAAGTGCTACCTTCATGTACCTTCATGTGACTGCTCCTTCCAAGATGGTCGTTGACTAGCTGCACCCGCACATGACTGTCTCGAGCTTGACTTCCTTCCTTTTCAGTATTGTCTCCACTCTCCTTCCTCTCTTATGTCTTGTCTACGATCACGACATCTCATCGCCTCCCCTTCTGTTCTCTGCAATGTCCCTGTCCGAACAGGAACACGGCTTCCAACCTGCTGCAGACCGCATACCAGCAACTCTTACCGACCCGTCCAACGTTGTGCATTTTCGTCGTACCCTCTGAACCGTGCATCCCACTCGGCCTTATAATATCACCGTCGCATTGCTTTCTTTTTGGTAACCGTTCTTTTCACTCAATCTTACATCGTGCTTCGACCCCCAACGCCTTATACTCGGTTTGCCCTGCACGCGATCCTTCTGATTCCGTGTCGAGCTTTTCCTACCGCCCACGTCTGCTCTCCGGCTCTCGGAAAATAGAGACGCAGTCAGCAGACGTACGGCTTTCAAAAGGCAACAAACCATATAAATAAAGCCATCATACTCTCTCCCATCAATCACCATGCCGCCAGTCCCCGCTGACCAGAGCTCGAGCACTGCTTCTGCTGCAGCAGACGAAATCCCAATACCAACTTACAGTGACGCTTCATCCGGCATTGCATCTCAGCCAAGCATTCATCACACCAAGCCAAAACCTGACTCCATGTCCTCCGCACTGCCCCTTTCAATGGGTGCATTCCGCATCCTCCTTGCCTTGCTGGCACTGATTGTTGCCCTCGTGGCCGCCGTATCCTTGTCCGCGGCACCCCCAGCATGTACGCCGTTGGATCAACCAAATCCGATCGCCAACGATTATCCTTACAACGCCACTGGTCTTCTCAACGTCACACTTGCTGTGATTCCCATTCCTCTTAGTTTTGCCCGCACCCTCATCCCACCCCAGTGGCCCATCCTCGTGCACGTCTATCAGGCTCTGTTTGCTGCCCTGGGGGTGTCGGAGGAGGTGTTTCCACCAGACCACTACCCGCTAATGGTCCAGGCCGGTCTCGACCACGACATCCAGATGGCAGCCTACAAGCTGTCCATTTCCGACTTCCAGCGTGCCGGCTACGAGTTTCCCTTTGTCGACCGCCTCGGGGACAACCACTCCTCGTTCCGCTGGGTGCCGCACCAGATCATCACGGCCAGCAACGCCGACGCCGTCGAAGGATCCCGTGCCTACGGCACTCTTGTGTCCCCGAGCGAATCATTCGACCCGCCGTGCGATGCCTACCGGTGGCTAGGGCACTACGGCGGCACTACCAACTTCAAGGCGTACGCTCGCAACAGCACGTCCATACGCCTCTCCTTTTACCACACATACTATAGCCCGCCGGCGCTCCCGTTGGACCTGTTCCGCAACATGACGAATCAGCCCAGTTTTGCAAACGGCACGGCCTGTGACAACCAGATCCGGCTGTTTAACACGGCACACTTTTTTGGAACAGGCAACACGAACCTGGCAGCGCATCCCGTCCGGGGGTCCGTCACGTCGGCCAATTTCGCACCCCTCAACGGCATGCATACCTGGGGTGGCAATGTCCACGGCTGGCAGCTGGCCACGCCTTTCATTGAGAACAACTACCTCGACTGCGACGACTTTAAGGGATATGATGGTGTTGATCTTCCGGGATATTAGTGTTTTCTTGTTATCATCTTTTTTCTTTCCAAATCATATTATTTCGGACCCGTCCTTTTTGTATATAGCATGTGATGGCAGAACGCCTTAGTCGGGGGATACCCGTATAGGCACGAATCAGATATATGAACACGTGTGTACGTGCACATTGGCATGTTTGTGATTCTTGACTTTGACCAATCCATCTTTTCACATTGTATGCAAGCTCCCTTTCTCAGAGCACCTTTACTTATCCCATAATACACAAACAGCCAAAACAGAAATTGCCATGTCACGTCATGTCCACTCTTCACCACCTATAACACCCGCCCACTCCCTAAATCTTAGTTATTTCTACCCGTGCCCGATCAAAGATCTTGTGGCCAACCATGGTGGCCTCGCCGTCCGCACTTGCACTGTTGTCCTCCGGTGCATACAGCGTCATCCGTGCATACGTGCCGGCACCCCGCCGCCGCGACAGGTACCCCGGGTTGATCATCAGCACACTCTCCACCACCTTGGCAAACGGTGGCAGCGTACTCGGCACAATCAGCACGTCTGGCCGCACATTGACCATCTCGCCCAGCTTGAGGTAGCTCGTGTCCAGCATGGGTCCCGTCGCCAAGCCCCGCCCCTCGTCGACGCCCGTCTTGGGCAGCCGCCGGCGGTCGACGGGCGGGAACAGCGGGAAGTAGTGGCGCTGCTCGAGCAAGTAGCGGCAGGCGCGCGAAATGGCATTGGCGTCGGCGACCCGGCCGCCCGTGACCTCTTCTTGGCGCAGCTCGTACAAAATGTCCTGCGACGAGACGCCCACGACCATCTCGTTCATGGACAGCGTCATGGGGTTGCCGACAATGCGCGCGGCTTTTGGCAGGCCCAGCTCGCGGCGCGGGAACGCGTCCTGCGGCCACGACACGTGCTTGTCAATGACGTCGCGGACCGACGGCACCAGCAGGATCGTGACGGACGGGTTGGCCGCCGCGAGCCGCTGCAGCGCCGGTGCAATCAGGTAGCGGAACACGGTCGTGAGGGTGGCGGTGTCCGGGTCGACGACGGCGTCGTCCGGCAGGTCAAAGTCGCCCGTCGCAATCAGCGGGTGGTCCGCATCGAGGAACGGCCCGGCCAGCACGACAGCATCAACAGACGTGTCGCTGGCCTTGCTGACGAGCGTGTGCAGCGGCTCAAAGTCGAGGTTGTCGTCGGCCGTGTACGGGCCCGAGGCGAACATGATGTTGAGCGGTGCAGGATCCTTCTTGGCCTCACCATCGTTGCCGTCCACATCCATCATGTCGTCGTCGGCACTGTCGCCGCCTCGCATTCGGTCTCTGTGGGCCGCCAGTGTCGCATGTGTCGAGGCCGCGTTGGGCAGCAGCGGTATGTCCAGGATCCGGCTGACGGAGAACGCTGCGCCGGACGAGTTGGTGCCGCGCAGAGCCACAATCTGGCCCGGGAAAAACTGGAAGCCGTCTGGGCCACTCCGGAAGCGGGTCAGGTCGAGCGGTACGCGCAGGCCGCCGCCCATGCGCCGTGACGTCTCGAGAACGACAGACGCCGCGTTCAGCTTGCCCTCGGCGGCGTCGGACGCGATGCGGCCGACGGCCACAATCTCCGACGTGCTTTGGCTGGCGGCGCTGCCAAAGGCCTCGTAGTCAATCTTGTGATGATCCATGACCAGCGTCGTGAACTCGTCGATGCGGTCGTCCAGAATTTCGGACGCCTCAGACAGCTTCATGGCCAGCGGCTTGTACCCCAGCTTCTTCTGGTCCGAGGCCGCCGTCAGCTTAATACGCGACGCGGCATACGGAACAATGGGTGGTGTGGGGGCCGGCAGGTGCTGGTTGAGCACCTCAATGACCTCACCGGCGTTGGGCCGGTCGGCAAAGGGCGAGGCGGGGATGAGAGCGCCGCCGCTGAGCGAGTTGAGCTGGTCCTCGAGCTTCGCGGGTGTCTTTGTGTTTGGCGTCACGCCGGCGGCACCGATCCGTTTGCCCGTCGAGCCCGTTTTGGAGACAAAGGTGCCGTTCGACCCCGGCGTGCTCGGCGCCGCAATGCCCATCCCGTCCAGCAGCCCATAGACATCGCCGCCCTTGTTGGCCGCGTTTCGCCGCGGCGTCGCCGCCATGCGTTCTGTCTTGATCTTCTTGGCGTGTGATGACACCTGCGGCATGTTCTGCTGCTCCTGGTTGCGCCGCTCGAGCGCGTCCTGCAGGTTCTGCTTGAAGGCACGCAGTCGCTCCATGGTGAGGGCGGCCTGGTCGAGCGGCAGGTCCATGCGGATGCAGTAGGCCTCCCACTTGTAGAAGAGCTCCTGAACGGGCAGGGCATGCATGTTCATGATCGACTGGAGCTGGACAATGATATCGGGCTCGAGGGGCTGATCGTCGCCGGCGCCGAAGCGCTCATTCAGCCTGGCGACGGTGTCAGCCATGGCGAGTGCTTGAAGGGGTTGAAGTCGTGTGTATGCTGAAGTAGAAAAAAAAAAGAGTTGTGCGCTCAATTGAAGCCACCTGTAGATTATCTTCTATCGGCTGTCGTCGTCGTCGTCAATCGTCTGTTGTTGGTGTCGTTATTGGGCCATGTTTGAAGTGTGTATTTGGAGGCTGCAAGAGTCGTGGTTGCCGCGGAAGACGCGTCTCGACGCGTAAAGTGCTGAAAGTCGTTAATTGGCGATTTTGGCAGGCCCCTCTCTAGCCCCTGTTCCGTGAGTTTTGGTCAAGGGAAGAGCGCCCCGCGCCAGCACTGCACCACACCCATCGGTCCAAATTAGGCAATTACGATGGCCACCTTTTCGTAAGCCAAGGAAAGAGCACGTAAACGAGGAACTGGAGACACATCCAAAGTTTATTTTCAACTTTTAAATTCAATTTTGAAATAGCTTCATCTATTTAGATGCAGTCATTGCCTATAAGGCTCTCGCACTTCCTCCTAAAATCCAACTGAATATTTGAATATGCGTCAGCAGCCCGCAGCCGCTTGCGAAAATGCTTGAATGCTGTGATAAACGAAAACGAGCAAATGAAGAATAAAGTCCTAGAAAACATCAAAATAGAAGAAAAAGAAAGCGAAACGCCCTGCGCCTGGTCCTGGTCCTTGTCCCGGTTCGCCTGGCTCTGATCCTGGCCATAAAATCCAATGTTCGACATGACATATCCCACGTCGCATGATGTCCGATGCCGTTGTCATGGTCGTCGTCGTTGTTGGTAGTGTTGGTATATAATCTTTCATAAGCGCCACGGCGGTGCCCTTTGTGAAACCTCTACAGCTGCACCAGCCCGCTCAGAATCTTGACCTCCTCGCCGGGCTTGAAGGCCGGTAGGCCAATGTAGGGGCAGGTGGAGCAGCGGAAGGCGTCGCCGAGCGAGCAGCTGTTGCAAGAGCCGGTCTTGCCCTGGACGGTAAAGTCGAGCTCGTTGAGGTCGTTGGCGTTGAGCTTGAAGACGTTCTTGAGGTCGCTGTCGGCCTGGGTGCGGCGGTCACGGTCTTCCCCTTCAAGGCGCTCGGCGAGGCCGCACGTGCAATCCTTGCAGGGCTTTCGGCGCTTCTGGCCATCAATGTTACATGCGGGTGCTACTAAAGTGTTAGCTAGACTGCTTTCTCTTTCCGTTATCAATAATGTAGGGGGGGGGGGGGGGGGGAGGAGGGGGACTTACGCTGTTGAGGGGGCCGGCTGCGCTCTTCGGCCGTCAACAGGCTGTCCTCGTCGACCAGCTCCTCGCCGTCGCTGTACTCGCCAAGATCCAGGGTGACAGCGGGCCGCTTGCCCTGGGCGTTGACGATCGCAGGAGCGGCTGCGACAGGTGCCGCGGCGGCCGCAGGGGTCTTCTTCTTCAGCCGCAGGGGGACAACGACCTCTTCCTCCTCCACCTTTTCAAACACGCCGTCCTTCTCGACCAGGCCAGCCAAGATGGCTTCGCGCGCACCGGCCCCCTCCAGCCGCGCACCGTCCTGGAACTGCAGACGGGCATTGTTCTTCATTGCGGGCACGAGCGCCGCAAATACAGGCCGGCTGCTGAGTAGGCGCACGGCCTCGGCACGCTGGGCACCGTCGGCATCGGTCAGGACGAGCACGGTATCGTAGGTGTTGGCAACCAGGGGCACAAAGCCGGCGGCGAGGCGGTCGAGCATCTGCAAGTCACAAGCAGCGCGGTCATAGTCGGAGGCGAAGAGGGCATGCAGCTTCTCCTCGTGGGCGGCAATAGCCGGTGGAGCCAGGATCAGTGTGCGGGTGGTCGGCTTGGATGCAGTGCCGTTGCTCTTGGTGGCGCCTGACTTGAAGCGGGCGAAATCGACCGAGTCATCGTCGGCGTCGATGGACACAAACGGAAACGCAGGCATGTCGGCGGCGGTTGTTTGATATAGGGAAAGGTAACGGCGCTTCGACAGAACGAAAGCTACGTTTGTGTTTGCTGTGTTTGCGTGCGGGAAACGAACGTAGATATCGGTGGCGAGAAAAAAGAGTGGCACAGTCACATGAAACAAAAGTCGTAGGCTCTGCTGGACACACAGTTGTAGCAAAACTCTCCCGAAGATGTACGTCGAAGAATTTGTATGTCGTACGGGGAATGGAAAAGTACTCCAGTATTCGAAGTTAGATGGGACGATGAAGAAAATGTCCACCTTTGGTGGGAGGCTGATTTGTGAGCAGGTTGTCAAGTGGAGTGAAAAAGAAGATAAAAAAGATAAGCTACCTAACCTGTAAGACAAAAAGACTGCGTCGGACTGGCTGAAAACCCGGGCACTAGAAAACGAGGGACGTCGCAGAGTAAAGCGGTGGCAGTGTCAACTGCTTGGTAACAGTATCTTGCATTCCGAACTCGGGGCCAGGGAGTGACAGTGGGAGGGAAAAGAACGCTAAAGCGTCGCTAGCCGGGGTGCATTATGTCGTGCTGTGCACGCCTTATTTGTTAGGCAGAAACTTTTATAAGCGCCTTCCACGTCCGGCCGCGATCGGCCTCCGAATTGCATCCTTTCGGGCGACTGTTTGTGACCGCGAACGATGTACGAATAAGGGAGTTGCCTCTGGTCATAAGCAATCTTTCAAACTAAATATACAACCCCCAACGGAGTTTGCTGTTCCACTCGGGAGGTTTGAATTAATAAGATGCATTGCGGGAACAAGCATTAGTGGGCCAATGGGCTCGCTGAGCTGCTTCCTTCCAATTAAGATCGTTAAAACAGTGAGCGCCTACATCACTGGCGCATAAGTGCCTCACGGTTCTTCTTCAAGTCCGACATTAGTTTTGGTCTCCGAATGACACGCCTCTCTGCCCTCCTGCAGTGATTTCAGATCTCTCTCATATTGTGGCATGTTTTCGCCGGGGCTCGGCGCAGAGAACTGGCCGTCTTGCAACCTCAAGGAACGGTCTGACGAACATGTCGAGTTATTTGGTAGCTTTCGCTGAAAGCCGATCAATTCTACTATACAATTCATGAAGGCAACCATTGCATTTGATCCCAATTTCCTCAATGCCGACATGCTGAACATTAGACTTCGTTTATGTTTTTCAGAGACGGTCACGTGTTCAATCTGAAGTGGCCGTTGCGGATGGTTCCTGAAGCCAGCCCCTGTGGGGCCCATTTCTGGGTCTGGCCAGGGAACGATAAAGCCTTATCAAAATTGTTCTATTTTCCGATTACCATGGCGATAGCGACACCAACAGCCTGGGAAACGAATACGGGGCAGTTTTACCGGTTGACGAGCTCCACCAGGCTGACTTCTCCTATGCGACGGCCTCGATATATTCTTGATTCCGAATTGATCCCGCCCAATCTCACAAATCGTTTTGTGCTTGTCTTTTGTTGAAAAAGCTATTCATCTTGCCATCCAATTTGTTGTTCTACTCTTTCACACCCATTCGATCCGAAATCCCAACAAATTGAGTCGACCACAACGACAACCAATTTGCCCAACAGCCTCCCAACATGAGCGCACCTGAGACACAAACACCGGCTGCGGCGCCGGATGCCAGCGAGAAGCAGGCCTCTGCTGGTCCGCTCAAGCTGCCCATTCCCTTTCCGACGGCCGACAGCGTGCCGCCTCCGCGCGCCGAGTTGACCGACGCCCAGGCTAAGAAGTACGAGTGGCTGCTCGAGCAGGTGAAGAGTTGGACGACGGTGGCCTCGTCCAAAGACAGCAAGGAGGACAAGTCGGGTCCGCTGACGGACGAGGACCGGTTCTGGCTGACACGGGAGTGCCTGCTGCGGTACCTGCGGGCGACCAAGTGGCACGAAAAGGAGGCTGCCAAGCGTTTGCACGAAACCTTGACATGGCGTCGCGAGTACGGCGTGGAGGGACTCACGGCAGAGCAAATCTCGCACGAGAACGAGACGGGCAAGCAGGTGCTGCTGGGCTACGACAAGCAGGGCCGCGTGTGCCACTACCTGAACCCAGGCCGCCAGAACACGGACCCGTCGCCGCGCCAGGTGCAGCACTTGGTGTACATGGTTGAGCGTGTCATTGACTTGATGCCGGCCGGCCAGGAGACGCTGGCGCTGCTCATCAACTTCAAGACAAGCAAGAGCCGGTCCAACACGGCGCCCGGCATCAGCACCGGCCGCGAGGTGCTGCACATTCTGCAGACGCACTACCCCGAGCGCCTGGGCCGTGCCCTCATCATCAACGTGCCCTGGGTCGTCTGGGGCTTCTTCAAGCTCATCACGCCCTTCATCGACCCGCTGACGCGCGAGAAGCTCAAGTTCAACGAGGACATGAACCAGTACGTGCCGTCGGAGCAGCTTTGGACCGAGTTTCTCGGCAAGCTCGAGTTTGACTACGACCACGAGGTGTACTGGCCGGCCTTGACAAAGATGGCGGCCGAGCGGCGTGCGGCGCGGCTGGCGCGCTGGGAGGCGGGCGGCAAGCAGATTGGCGAACTGGAGGACTACCTGGCGGGCAAGCTGGAGCAGGGTGTTGCACCGGCCGCTGAGGCGGTGCCCGCGGTAGCCGTTGCGGAGACACCAGCTGTGGCCCCAGCGGCTAAGACTCCGGAGACGGCTGAGACTTCTGTCGAGGACCTCAAGGTGGCCGACCTGAAGGTAGCAGACGAGACGTCGGCTGAGACGACGGCTGCCACTGCTGCTTAATGGCTGAATAATGAGTGTAAGGAGAAGGAAAACCGGAGCCGGAGAGAAGGAAGGAAGCAGAACCGTGCGAAGAAAGCCCCAAACACTGGATTCGTAGTGTTTTTCGAGGGCCACATATACCATACTTATGATAGATCTAGCGCCTGTCCTTACTGTCATATTTTCGCACTGCCGCACTGCCGCACTGCCGTTCTTTATTATTTAATAAGTTAGTAATTCTTTGATACACTTATGCGTTAAAACAGAGTCTCCGACCTCTATTTTATTATTACTATCATCGTTATTGTTTTGCCCCTTCGTTCAAAAATCGAGGCTTCCATTTTCCTTATTTGACACAAGGCTGTGAAACTAAAGTTAAGGCTAATTCGTGGAGGTCAGGCAAGCGCGGCTTTAGGAGGTGCCCCACATCCCAACTCTCCAGTGAATTGGCTGGCTCGACCACAAAGTCACCGACCTCGACCCATCCTTCAACCTACCGCCGACGATTTGCGCTGCGACAGATACCGATCATCTCCGGCCCGTACGCCCCCTCCACATCCCTCCGTACCTCTACCGTCTCCTCCTCGCCTCCACCATGGCCAGCCTCGCGTCGTCCGGCTTGGGCGGCGTCGGCAAAGGGCCCGCGCCGATACGAGACCCCCAGCACCAGCACCAGCATCAGCATCAGTACTCACAGTCACAGTCGCCGGCACAGCACCAAGCACAGCCGCAGCATCAACAACCACCCCAACAGCCCCAGAGCGGCCTGCGCTACCCGACGAGCGGTAAGACCATCTACCACCGGCCGCTCAACCGCACGCGCAACGCCGAGCTTAGCCAGTCAGCGTTTGCCTACCTCTTTTCCGAGATGGTCGGCTACGCCCAGCGCCGTGTCACTGGTATCCAGGACCTAGAGAAACGGTGTGTTCTGTCCTTGCCGCCCTCGTCTGTTGCCTCCGCGCTTGGCTTCTGCAGCTAACAACCTCAGCCTCAACGTCCAAGGCCACCCTATTGGCGTCAAGCTCCTCGATCTCCTTCTCTACCGCGAACCACCGCGCTCCCAAGTCCGCCCCCAAACCATCATCGCTCTCCTTCATTTCGTCAAGATCAACGTGTGGACACACCTCTTTGGCCGTCAAGCCAATGGCCTCGAAAAGAGCAGCAACCCACAGACGCCCGAAGAGTACATGATTATCGACAACGAGCCCCTCGTCAACCAGTACATTAGCGTGCCGCGCGAGATGAGCCAGCTCAACTGCGCGGCGTACGTGGCCGGCATTGTCGAGGGCGTCTGCGACGGTGCTGGGTTCCCAGCACGCGTGACAGCGCATACGGTCGGCCGCGCCGAAGAGGGCGAGATGTGGCCCGGCAAGACGGTGTTTCTTGTCAAGTTCGAGCCGCTGGTGCTCGAGCGGGAATCATACCTGGGAAAGAGCTAGAAAAACGGCTCCTGCGGCAGCCTCTGGGACGGTCCCTAGAGGTGTAGACTGCACACGGACCGCTGTCATGGCCTTGTCGTATCCGTTAGTGTCTTCTTCTTTCTTGCTCCTGGTAGCTTGGTGTATATATCTCGGCGTTTCTCCTTTGTTGCTTCTTTACCATGGGAAACTTAAAAAATGCATGTTTCTTTTGCCCTTGTTCCTATGCTATGCCCCTAAGCAGACGTAATTCATGCCCCGTTTGTCGCAAAGCCCATAACCGTAACGCCGTGCCCATCGTCGTAGTATCCATGCCGATGTTTTGCAGTCTCTCCCTCTCCGCCCATGTTGCCTTCACCGCGGCATTCCACGGTACGGTCTGGATCCAGCTCCGGACTGTCCACGCACCACGCCCCCTGGGCCAGGACTTGCAGCCGGATCACCAGCAAACCCGCCACCGCCGCTGCCCGCACCGGCGAGGCCGGCCCCGATGCCGTTGGCGTTGTAGCCATAGTAGTAGGCATAGTAACCGTACGAGTTGTTTGTGACGCCGCCGGGGCCAGACGCGCCGCTGCCAGCACCACTCCCGCCGGTAGCATGCATACTGCTGCCATCATGGGTGGCTCCTCCACCCCCTCCACGTGCGCCGCGCGGCCCGCGGCGCATCAGCTGCGACAGCCCCAGGTCCTTCCATGCAGGCTCGCGCACAGCCTGGGTGGCGCGCTGGATGCCAAAAGCGGCATGCTGGTCGGGCACAACGTCGTCCTCGTCCTCGGGATTGATGGGCTGGTGCTGGGGCGGGACAAAGATGTCGTCGTTGGGGAGGCGGTCTTTGCAGACGTCTTCAAAGAGGTCCGCGTTGCGAGGGTGGTGCATGTGCACCGACGTGTAGCAGCCGTCTTTGTTCTGAAAAGTCAGCGGGTTGTCAACAACAGCGTAGAGGGCATGGTATGCTCACCATTGTGGGTCTCCGCGTGGTCGTGGACGCAAACTTGAGGTTGTCACCGCGTCTGGATGTTCAAGTAAGCTCAGTATGGAGGCACCGAATGCACCATTAATTGATTTGTTGGCGGGCGGGGCTGCTTGTCGAATTGGGATTGCTGGTGGTGGTGTTGGTGGTTTTGTTGGTCCGATCAGCACAGTCGGCCAATCACAGCTCAAGGCTGTCGGCACTGTAAACAGCATCTCGCCAGCAGCATCGTCAGCCTCATCTGCAATTGCTGAGATTACGAATCTTACCTATGAAGCCATATTGCTGTAAAAGTATTCAAGCGTTCTCACTGTATATATTTCTTTGCAAAACCAGATTTCATGATCCTGTACGAAGTACACGAAAATATAACCATTTCCCGTCCGTGACATCAATGCCGTCTGTTTTATTCCCCGAAAAACAGACTCTTAGTCTTTGCCTTTTACTCACTCAACATTCATGCGCCATCATGCAGGATTCAGCTGTAGGCAACGCCAAACGGAAGTTTGCCTCTTTTCTTCCTGCATCTTCCCTTTCTCAATTACCCGTAGGGAAAGGTGCTTTACACCACACACGGGAGACGCGCAGGACACGGACGGAGTACTACTCGTAGATTAATAGCGGGAGATCTTAAACTTGGATGCCCGTGGTCCTTTGACATATCTAATGATTTTTTTATTTAACAAAAACCCATCGGCCTTCAATTTCCTCGCTATTGTCGTCTGGCGGCTGAAGGGGAAAGTTATTTTGTGTCTATTGTCGATACTGTCTCATGACGAAAGAAAAAAATAATTAGAGGGCCGTTTGCAAAATGGGGTGGCTGAGGTGAAGCGGCTGGCTCTGCAGTAGATGATAGGAGCCCGAACTTTGAGATATGATGTAAGTCACTTCGGATCCATTGTACGACATGTTCCATCGGAAGGTTACAGCTAGAAAACGAAAAGGAGGAGGATGAGATGGCGCTGCCAAGGGGCAATAAAAGTTCACCAATACGAAAACCATGGAGAGCTAGGACTGCACATGACAGACCACAAAGTGTCAAAGTGTCACCACACATCTTGAAAATACAAGCGGACTGGGCAGCACGTATGTTTGATACTATGCAGCACGAGTGGCTTATTGCGCCGCCACTCTGCGCAAATTGAGTCGTCAACTTATTAAAAAACTTACAGTATGAATCTCCTGGGACTGAGAGCTTACGGGGTATTTACATCGCACTCTGTACTCCGTCCGGGCAAACTTCAACAATTTTGTGCTTCGTCAGGGGCATGTTTACAGGAGATGGCTGATTATCCACAAGAACGAGACTTTCCAAGGAGAGTAACTGGGAAAATCAAAACGCTCTTGCATGTCGCACAAACATGCTCCGTAGACATTGATTTGTATGAGTGGCCAGGTGCTGCTAGCCTCATGTTCGATTTGCCAACTCACGATTGTTTATCGGCCTGTATCTTACTATTTATCTTGGTCCACGACATGCATGAGGGGGCGGATGTTCTGACGTTGCAATGGCATTCAACGCCACACTGATAAACAGTCAGGCGGTGGTGAGTAGTTCACGGCTAGACTACGATCTCCGCCGTACGTACAGAATAGAACTTCGCATGTCGTACACTCGACGACGATGTCTTACTACCCAGACGGTTCAACTATGTTCTGTTTCTGCACGGCCCGCAAGATGAGGCGCTGTAGGCCGCTTCTTGAGGTTCTTGGTCTTCTTGGGACATTTGATTTATTGGATTACGTAGAATCGGCAAACGAGTTGGACACAACTGAGAACATTCCACGACTGGTTTAAAGAGGAGAAGAGGGCATGCGGCGAAAGATGCACCTAACTTTAGGCAAACCAACTTTCTCAGTAGCTTGTGTTTGTGGTTGTACTCGTCTATAACTTGGAAGAACACACGCCGAAGAAGAGGTGGATAAAGTCGCTTCTCGAGATATAATTAATATTGAGGAGATTAGACTCCGGTGGACCTTCGCCCAGTACCACGCCGCTTGCGAATAGGCGAAAACACTACGGGGTGCTGTTAGTCATAAACACCGCGTACGGCGTACGAAGCATGTTTCTCGCCCCTTTATTTCGTTGAATCGATTTTCGTATTGTCACTGGTAGTCATGTCGGTTTCGTGTTTTCTACTATTCACGATGTTGTTTCTTTTTCCTCCATGCAGTGAAAGCCCAATGCAGTCTGCATTCGGCGTAAAATGCAGGTCAAAAGGGGGAAAGGGAACAGTTATGCGTCCTGACTACAATGCATAACTGTTGAGTGCACGCTTGAGCGAGAAAAAGGCAACCAAACCCGAGAGGACGATGTTACTGGCCGCCGTCCAGTGTCGCAGCCACCAACTGCTGAAAACTCAGGAGAGTGAACTGGCCAGACCGTGCCTTGCTTGGCACTAGCCAGTCGATCCAACCCCGTTCGCACCAGCGGCTGCGCTAAGGCCAGGAACAACTAGAAAACAGAATGAAGGATGCCTGTTCCAGGCCTGGTCGCGCCGGCATACTGCAGATGGATCTCGTCACCCCCAAACCTTGATCACAACAGCCAATCACAGCCGACACCATCCGTAGCCTGGCATGCAAAGCCCAGAACTGAATGTCAGGGGCATAGTTGTACATACCCCAGCCGACTTGCACACCACACTTTTCATCCAACCTCTTCTGATCCTGATCCTTCCGACCATAGAACACATCGCAGCCACTGCCTATTCTCGTGGCCCTTTCCTCGACATTCGTTTCTCCACGGGTCTGTCTCGTGCGCAAAGACGGCGTTGTAAGCGATCATACCCTGTGGAGCGGTGGTCTCGTCTGGTCCTTCAAATCTCGTCTCGTGTCGCATACACTGTCTCGACCTTGTCTTTCTCTTCCCTCCCCAATGTCTCGGACGGCCACGCCATTGAGTCTGCAAATAGGGCCCGCAAACAGGCTCTAGACACAGGCCACAAAAGGGCCGCAGTCTGTCCAGCCTGTTGTCCTGTCCCGCACGTCGCATTGTCTGGCGCGTCACTCCAATTACAGGAAAATAGGAATATTTCAGGACCGCACGTAGGACCACGGACTCTAAAGTCCGCGCAGATAGATGGGCTCTGCATTCTGCAAAAGCAAGTAATGCTCTGCGATGCACAAGATACAAGCGTGCGATGCAGGTCGTTATGTGCATCGTAAAACAGTCGACGTCACCTGTCGTACTGGCCGGAGCGAAGCGTTGTTCTGGCATGGAGGCCATTCGGATAATACCTGTTTTTGGCTGGTGATGGCTGGGTACATGTCATTTGTGCGCCCAGATGTACCTCGCGCCACAAATTAAATGAAGTGGGTACATCGCGCTCGTACACCCATTTGTACCCAAACCGCAGAAGCCCGCCTAGTCAATATCGCAGCCATTTAATGTTTTATCTCGATACCCTCGCTCATTTGTCTCCCCCTTTCCGTACACTTTTCGTCTGCTTTTTACTCTCCACCTCTCTACACCTCATCTCTCTTGAGCTTTGCATCTTTCCCGTAATCAACACGCTTGCCTCGCTCTCGAGCTTCTTTCGGTATCCTACAAGAGTGTCGAAGTGTTGAATCTGGTGGCGAGCTTGTGCTCAGTCGCAGTACGTCGTAGCTCCACAGCATTTCGCGTGCTTTGTATCCGTGTTACTGATGCCTTTGCTTAATGAATTGAGAGTTTTGGCCCCCCCCCCCCCGGCGGCCCCCCTTTCGCTGCTGCCCTTTGCAGTCGTATGGAAGTACCGATTAGGGCAATTTGCACACGCAAGCTCTTGTACTCCGCCCGCCGTGTTTCTTTGGATAACCTTTGCAGGTCGTTGTTTCCTTTTTCGGCAGTGCATCTTTCCATAAGTCTCGATGAGGGTGTGGCTCAACGCATGGACGGTCCTCCTATCCTTGTTCATGCTCTTTCCTTTTTCTTCCTCTCAGCCCTCAGTTAGTCCGTACGACGTAGAGTAGCTTTGCACCTTCCCCTCTTTCTACGTTCCTTCCTCTTTTTGTACTTTGCAAAGTCGCTCTTTCTCGTCCTTTTTCCTGTCGTCCCTCGTCGTTCTTGTTGTCGGCTGTTTTTTCGATCTCTGCTTTTGATCCCTTCTTCATCTCTTTCTGATTCTTCGCGTCTACCCTCTTGTTTTATTTTCTTTCTTCTATTCGGCTTCGGTTTATTGCTCGTAACACCCCCCAAGGCACCGTCAAGGACTGAGACCCTGTTTTCCTAAACCGGACAATCCAACACCAAGGCCCTCGCTGAGCGACAAGAAATGCACACGGAAGCTACGACGACTGACACAAAATACGGAGTAGATTAACTACAATCAAAGATTTCTCGTTTTCCTGCCGAGCTGCTTTTCTCCTGCCTCTTCTTTTTACACTTCTTTTCTACTCTCTACTTTTTGCCATCCTCCTGTCGATTACCTCAGAAGCTCATACCAGCTTCGTAAGACATCTCTAGCGAAATAACAACACATCGGATGCCTCTGCTTCTCCTGACCTTCTTGACCTCGCGCTAGCACTCATCGGACGCGAATCGTTGCGAACCTATCAAGAAACAATTGGTATGCAACCTTCCGACGCTGCATCTACGCGCGTCATTCTCTTGTCATTGGCCTTGGCTTTACTTTATTTCTTCTTCTTTTCCGTTCTTCGAATCATTTGGCCTGCGATAAGCTCTCGTGTTAGGTGGCTTTGGTTATCTTTGGCCGTTCTGGGTTCTCGACGCTCTGAAAAGTGTCTCAGTTGTCGCGATGCAAAGTGCATTGCAGATGAGCGAGGGCTGGGAGAGTGAAGAGATCTACAGTATGCCAATTTAGACCTCGGGCCCTAGCCTCGATCGACCCCCATTACGACGTCCACAGCTGCCATCTTTTATTTTACGTCTTGGAGGCGCACAAACAAATGCTAACATACGAGATTGCGCCAGCTCTCTTTTTTTTTCCATTTGAAGGGATACACTTTTCTGCCTCCCATATCTCGGTCCACGTTCATCGCCAAACCCGAGTCCGTCTCCACGCCAATCGCCCTGTGATTTGTGTCTCCTGAAAGAGCAGGCCTCCAGACCAGGATAGACCTCCACTCTAGGTCCGTCTATTTGGAGACTACGACGAGCAACGAAAACGAACAGACAGATTTATGAAAATACCAGACGAATCGACAGGAAGCAACATTACAATGGTCACGTCCAACAACGCCTCGCCCTTTCTGGCAGAAGAAGAGACGGCATCGGCCAACGAGAAGCGGCTTCACACAATAGAAACGACACAATACATCATGGAGAAACCCTCCCAAACCTCCCTGGCCTCGGCTACAGTCATCGCTAGTACCAGCACGACGGCAGAAAACCAGACGCAGGAGCTGCACGAAAAGAACGGGCGGCTCAGCTCAGGAAGCAGGCCCGAAGGCCTGACTGGATCCTCGGGCCTGCCGACACCCACATCGGGCCACCAGAACCCCTTCGACACAGACGTGGAGGCCATGATCACACATACCACTAGCGAGGGCACCAGCAACGGAGGCGCTGGCCGGCGATCCATTGCCTGTCGCGGCCTTGGCGACTCGCAAGTCTGGCCCGGCCAGAGTCACTGGAAGAAGAAGGCCAAGGAGCAAAAGATGAAGCGGTCGTGTTCCTGTCTGTCGCGGCTTAGCAAGCGCAATCGGCTCATTGTCAAGGTGTTGATCGTCGTTCTTGTTGTGGGCGTCGCCATCGGCGTCGGCTTGGGTATCAGCAAGCCCCTGGGTGCCCCAATTTGGGGACAGCGCAACTCATGAGGACAACCGGAGGCGACACTACAGCTTTCTGTCACGATTTCTCGACCGTCTCACTCTGCTACTCCTGTTCGACCTGCCTGGTAACGGACTTCACGTTGATTTATCATGGGGAGACGGTATCTTTGGCCCCGACCGGTGCGATGCCATCAAGCTTTCGATTCCCGGGTTTCTGTTATCCTCTCCTCTTACATGTTCACCTCGCACCCATCGATGTCGGCCACAGATCACGACGGACCCTTTTCTTGTTCTTCTGTACCTACGTCTTTTGGCATTAGCTGTTTTTGTTCCTCTCAGCGATATTTGGCGAAAATTGCACGGTAGGAACCAACTCACTGTCGTTTTCCCGGTGTTTATTCCAGATCCAGCTTCTTCCTATCCCTTCCATTCTCTATCAGTCTCCTCGCACCATTCTTTTTCGTTTCTTTTTCGTCCTTTATCTTTCATCTTAGACTATGTAATTGAGGCGTTATGTGTACAACTGTTGGATTTGTCCAAAGCAAGACATATGCATGGAAGGAGGCAGGGACGACATGTGGTTTGGGCAGGGGAGTGAAAGCAAACTTTATACGGGTCTCAGCGTCTCTCCGTGTGTTTATTTTTTATTTATTTTTTTGATTTCCTTGTCTCCCCTTCTTGCTTCCTCGTTTACATTTAGTTCATTCTCTCACAGCCGGCGATGGGAAATTCAAACACGATTCGGTAGATAGCGCTTTTCGTTTTCTCTATTCTAAATTCTATCATGAATACACGTAACGCTTGGAATTAAGATTACGCTGCATTGTGCGGTTTGCCGTATTTTATTTTTCTTTAAATAATAACAAACCACGTCTACCTCCCCGGTGTCGTTTTAAAAGGACTTATTCCATCGAATCGGTATCTTTTGATCGCGGGTTACGGCCGTTCCCCGCCAATATGTGCCGGCCGCGGTTGAGCCAAGAACTGCGGCATGCTGCCCGTAGCCTCGGCGTCAGACGTAGATGCAGATGCAGCCGCAGACGCAGATGGGGACGCAGACGCAGTCTCAGATGCCAGGTTGGCAGCAGAGTTTGCACTGGACGCCTGTCCCATGACAATCGGTTCCGCCGACAATCGGTCTCCCTTTGCCGTGTATGGCGGCAAGACCGGCATGTCAGAGGGAGAAAACTCGCTGTATGGCGGCGCCGGCTGCCGCGAGTGCCGTTGGGGAGACATGCCGTATTCAGCGGAATGATCTGGCTCCAGGTGAGCTGGAGAAAGGCTCCGGAGAGCGGGCCGTGGAGCTGCTTCGGCCGGCTGGGCTGGCTGGACTGGTTGAGCGGGTTGGGCCGGTTGGGCCGGTTGGGATGGCACTCGTGGTGAAAGTTGGACTGGTCGGGATCTCAGAGCGTTGCCATAGTATGGGTGACGTCGATTGAAATCGGCCTGGTCGTCTAAGGCCTGTTGTTGTTCCTCCTCGGACAATTGTGGTTGTTTATGAAGCCAGTGCCGGACATAAATAATCGTGCATAATGTGACAGGGACAATGAAGGTGATGAAGCAGACGTAGGCGCTATCCATGATTGCAATAAGGTTTTGTGTTGATCATTGATATAGAGATTTAATCGTGAGACTTGGATGGGTGACCCGAAGAATGTCGTTTAAAACGAGGTGATGGTGATGGCAGGGCATAGCACAAAGTAAGTATCCAAAGAACAAAAAAAAAAAAAGAAGAAGCAGAAATTGCAGAATGCGAGCCCTAATCATGCGACGTGGATAGTAGACACGTGCCATAGAAAGGGAAGCAAAAAAATACTTCATTGTGCACAGTATAAAAATAGATAGTTATGATGATGCTTACTCCTGAAATTCAAAGCGTCGTCTCACGTGTCCCAACTGTAGTTTATATTTCTCAGTGTAACAAGAAACGATTAGAAGAGTAACAGATGGAATGTAGCATTAAAGGTAGAAGAAGCTCCGGACACGGCTGTAAGTATTTCGTTAGTAAGTGGTGCCATGCAGCATGCTGTAAATAAAAAAGAGCCAACAAAAAAGGGGCTGACATAAATGTCGCGAGGCTAGCCAGTGTCACATGTTCCCACAACCATTAAAGTAATACAGGTACACTAAAGTACAAGACAGTGAATAATAACGGATAAACATTAATATAAGGAAACCGTAGGGCCAACGAAAAGAACATGCCAAAAAAATTAATCGTTAAAAAAAAACCTACACGGAGGATACAACAGTGGAAGCTAGGCGAGTTAGACGGGCATGTCTCTCCACCGGCCCTTCAGGGATCGTCTCGAAGCGACCGTTCTGCTTGATACCGCGTTTCTGTTGGTACGTCAGCTCGTGTTGCTGCACCTGCCACTGGCGCTGCTGTTGCTGATGGTATTCAGGATAGTACGGCATCTCGTATGGGGCGTCGTACGGCTGGCTATACGGCTGTTGGTAGTAGGTCGAAGGCTGGAATTGTGCAGTCTTCTTCTTTTGGGGCCACTGTGGCTGCTCGACAGGACCCGGAGGCGGCACGAACGGCTGCGGCTGAAGCTGCTCTTCGTCGCTCTCGGCAGCCTCCGGCGTTGGCTTGTTTGACCTCGTCAAGAGATCCATGACGCCGCTCTTGACCTTGTTTTTGACCTTGCGTTGGCCTCGCTTGCAGCAATAAACGACGAGACCTGTCGCGCAAATCAGCAACGCGGCGCCAACAAGGAAGCTGATGGTGACGGTCCTGCACGTGGATGTCTGGCACATTTGAGAATTGTGTGCTGTAGCTGTTTTCAAGACCATTGTGATAGTGGGAATGCGAAGCGAAGGGAAGGGCAGAAAAGTAGACGATGGTATCGATTCAATTCAAGATGGGGTGAGTTGAAACTCGTGAAGAAGTAAATGCACTCACAGATGAGTAGGTTAGAATTTGCTCCAGAAGAGTTGCTGAGGAAGATAATGACGTGAACAAGATTCTGGAAAAGGCAAGTGATGATATCTTTCATATATATATATATATATATACGGCTTCGATTCCCTTTAACTTTCCTTCTGCTCGTCGATTCATGTCATGTTTCTTTCCGCATTTTTGTGTGCCTCCAAAATTGTCTTTGTTCTGTTTACTATGTGTGCTCTTTTGGAAGGGCTCTGTTTCATCTCCCCTTTCTTCCTCGGACAAAAGGCGTTCCTGACCTTGCATAAAAATAGCTTCTGTCCCTTTTATTATCAAAGGAACAATGCTAAATAAATGGAAAGGCACAACAATGAAACCGCCGGGTTGGGGCTGCATATGTGACGATAAGTGTGGTCAAACGTTTGCGATTGTGAGAATATCAACGAAATGGAGGGATAGATACGAATAAGTGGTAATAAATCCACGCTTATATTGTATTTGTGAGGAAAACAACTAATCGCATTGGAATACCTTCGTATATACGTAGAAAAAGAAAACCATGAGCCGTAATAAAATAAAAAAAGCCATCAACACACCTGCACTTGTTTGTGTTTTTTTGGCAGGTGGTTCCATCGCATTGGCATCGACAGATAAGTTTTTCGACCCGAATCTACCGTGCTACATCGTAATATTTATCGTGCACATTTTGTTATCTGTGTGCATCAGAAAAGAAAAAAGACCGTCGCAACCTATGAAAACAACGCAAGCCCAGATTATATGCAGCGCCGAATTATGGTATCTATATTGTAAAACAACAAAATGAAAAGAACACGAAGCAAAGCTAGATTAAGGCGACTCGCCGGGGTTAAGCAGCAGTTCGTAGCCGTCCTCGGGCGGCAGTACATATGCCGCAAGTGCCAGGCCCAGTCCGCACAGCGCCGCCAGACTCCAGCTCACGGTGCACAGCGTCCACGACGTGCCCAAGTGCCAGCCGGGCACCAAGAATCGATCATCGTGGTCGAGTAGGTACGTCACGAGGGCCATGGCCCCGAGCTGCAGGAGCGCGACAGCCTCGACGAGGGGCACAAGGACGCGCCAGCCAAAGTCGCGGCGCATGCGGCCGCCGCAGAGGACGACGAGAAAGCCGATGAGGGCCACAACTTCGGCGACAAGGGCGACGGCCATCAAAAAGCCAATGGTGCGCCAGACGGTGCAAAAGACTTGCTGCGAGGGTTCGGCGCCGCAGTCCCAAGAGCGGTGCGGGAAGGAGCGGCAGGTCGCGCCGCTTCCGGCAGACGAGTAGGCAGAGGTGAGCGGCGACGCGGGCGAGGTGTCGGTTAGAAAGAGAGGCGGTGCGGTGTTTTCGGACGTGCACGACTTGTGCAGACCAAGCGACATCCAGTAGGGGTCGCTGCCGTCGGCGGTGGGATACATGACGTAGTAGACCCAGTTGGGGATGAGGGTGGCGGCGACGGTCATGGCGGCGGAGGCGGTAAAGGCCAGCATGGCGCCGCCGTAGACAGACGTCCGTGTCATCACGGCGGTGAGAGAGGAGCCGTCAACGTAGATTCGATGTGTTTGATGAGGTGGGGAGATACGGCAATGTGATGTTTGTGCTTGTTTTATGAGTTCGCGTTTTGCACGTGAAAGAAATCCGGTGGGTGTCAGATGAGCGAGTGGCCCGAGGCTGCCGTCTCCCGCAAAAGTCGGTGCCTGACGGCAGGGGACGAGATGGGTATTTGCGATGGATGGTGAATGATTATATGGGTGCACAATGGATAAGAGATGAAGTGAAAGAGGATTGTGAGAAAAGAAAGAACTCAGAAGAGACCACGTCGAGAAATGGACAGGAGGGGAAGGCGCCGCGGCGAAACCAAAAAGGGAGGAGAATGACGGCTGCCTTGCCCTGTTTTGTTCTTTCCCCAGATTGCCCAGTGCCGATCTGTTTTAGGGAGGGGAAGACGTGTTAGTCGGCAGGGAGGCGCAGTCCCGTTTGGTCGAACGCAGGTATTTTGCTTCCAAGGAAAATTCACGTGACTGCACTATCTAAACACGTGATTGTTTTTTTTTAAGCTCGAAATTCAACTAAGCTTCCTGCCCCTAGTTTTTTTGGAGTGGGTCTGTTGGCTTCAAAGCAATTTTTTTCGGTTGCTCTGCAATAGTGCTCAGACGACAACAGACGACATACGATCGTTTCACGGCGACACGACGACGACGACAACGACGACTTCACCCACAAGTCTATTGCAAGACCAGGCCTCCTGTCGAGATACTCTCCTAGAATTGGCAATACTGGCGCTCCTTTGACCCTCACATCGCCATCCACAACAGACTCACAACTGCTCCGGCGAGAGTCGCGTGTCTCGCGACGACCGACCTCGATGGCATCAATGACCCCAATTATCTCTTCTTCCGGCGCGGCCGCGTCATCAGCAAGACGGCTATGGGCCAGCACAGCAACTACGTGCAGCCTCCTCCAATCGACCACCTCCACATCCTCCGCATCCCCATTAATACCGTCACATAACCAGCGCCTCGCCGACCGCCGGCATCAGTCGACGGCCAACCGCACGAAGCGCGCACTCAACATTGCACCGCATGCGTCGTTTTTGACGCGCGGCGGCGGCCGCGACAAGGCGGGCGCGGGATCGTCGTCGGGCGCGGCATCCGAGGTGGCCACTGCCTTGGGCACAATCGAGTCCAAGTCGGCCGCTGGTTCGACGACGACGCTCCTCTACAACCCGCCTGCCAGCGCGCCCTCCGTCTACCAGACGCCTTTTAAATTTCTGCCCAAGTCCGACCCGCGCCGCCGGTCCAACCTGACGAACCTATTTGCCAGAACATCCTCGACGACAACGTCTTCGACGACCGCCTCGACTTCTTCAGCACCGACACCACGGGCACCTGCGTTGGCCCACCGCAACTTTGCGCCTGCCCCGCAGCAGTACCACTTGACGCCCGAGGACGTGGACGAGATCCGCCGGCTCCGCACCCAGGACCCCCTCGAGTGGAGCGTGCACCGTCTAGCGCACAAGTTCCAATGCTCGCCGATTTTCGTGATGATGGTGGTGCGCAGCAGTGCAGAGCACCGGGCGGCGAAGCAGCAGCAAGCGGCAGCGGCGCGTGCACGGTGGGGCCCGATCCGGACCAAGGCGCGGGCAGAGCGCGTGAAGCGCCGGGAGATGCTGTTCAACGGGGAGTTGTAGGCAGCATTGGAAGGACAAAAGACACGGCCGGGGCGGTGTACGAAAGGCGGGCATTGTAGAGCATGTGCAGCATTCACCATTCCACTATTTGCCATTATTGTATTAAATCATTTGCAGAAAAGGCACACCATGTACAAATATATATCAATCAAAATTCACAACCAGCGATTGAGGCCTGGGTGAGTTTCTTGTTGCTGCAAGATCGTGGACTATAAAGCACAAATTAAGCTATGGAGCAACCAACACTGTGTCAGCTCTACTCCTTTCCATGTCTGCCCGTCTGACGGTGACGTGCCTGACATCCAATCCCAAGTACGCCGTGGCGTCGGGACGCGATAGAGTGTCCAATAAACAGGGCGACACTTGGTGGATGAGTTCTGCCGTAAAGCAAAAGTCGCGCTCGACGAGGGCAGTGGTAGTTCTGCATTGGCCACTCCCTGTCGTTGTCGTCTTCGTGGACAGTTTTGGGCAAGGGTTGCAGAAAAGTCTAGCGTTAGGCGTGTGACAAACCGAAATGAAATAGATTCTAATTTTGTGAACGCAGTATTATTCGTAAATTGTGAGTGCTTTCCTATCCAAAACTCCATATCCAAAATTAATATCCAAACGTATTTAAGCGCTCAGGCGCCGCTACGTCCACTACGTACTGTGGCATAATTATGTGGAAGCATTTACGGTCGGGGCTGGCACCCCGATACCCAAGAACTGTATGCGGTTTTTATGTACGCAGCTAAGGAACGCATCTTTGGCAGAGACACATTAAAACACAACAACCAAGGCGACCCAAATGCCGTGTTTGATCATGTAGGGGTCACTTTCTTCTTGTCGGTTGTGAAACTAAATTATGCCATAAGAAATGGAGACCTTCGCAGAAACGATAGAGATGGAGAGCGAGAGAGAGTGAGAGAGACAGAGAGACAGAGAGACGAAGCGACCAAAACGTGCCTTACCTAGTAGTGCGCCTGCAAATCCACATGGTCGTCCGGGCCATGGTTGCCTGCGTCACGCTGGCTAGGAATCGGCCGCCAGCACCAGCCGCACCAACTCCGTACACTACCCGTGATCTCACGCTCGAGAATGGCGCCCCGTGCCAGCTCATCCTCCCAGTCGTGGACGCAGGCGCCCACCCGCACCATCTTGACGCGCTTCCGCTTCACAACGCCACCGATGCCCTCGATCTCGTGTCGAGCATATCCTGGGCCAAGTGCAGGCGACGGGGTACGGCGGTTGGTCAGAGCGGCCGCAACCTCGGGTGAATAAAGCGGCGACCCGACTGTGGCTGCAGCTTGTGTAGCTGGCGCGACAGGAACCGCCCAGGGCGACTCGTTCATGATAGCCGAGGGCGACACGGCTGGCGATGCCAGGGGGCTTGCGGAGCCTGCCAACGAGCCATTGGGCGAGTCTTCGGCCTCGCGTGCGTCTTCAGCATCGCAGTCAGTTTCCTGTTCGCGCTCTTTGGCACAGCAACAGTCCTGGTCGCGACCGCAAATCACGCCACGATCACCCTCACCGATGCCCGTTCCGAGACCCCCAAGCACCTCGCCGTATTGTGTCCGCCACTTCCAGATGCTGCGACATTGCGTTAGTGATTAGGCAAAGAACGGAATAGAAAAACACAAGGGCTCGAGGGGACACGTACGCTCTGTAGTCGTAGTCGGCACCACGGATACTACGACCACACGGCTGACAGAGCCAGACCCCCTCAGACGCACAGCAGCAGATGGCCAGTTGCATTACATCGGATTCCAAAGGTGTAGAGGCAGGCAGGGGCGGCTTGGCGAGCGTAGTGAGAGGTGCCTTGACGCAACCATCACAGAGACGGCGATGGCGGTCACGGAGGACAATAGGTGCAGGAGGTTTGATCGCGCAGTTCTAAAAAAGTTAGCCGAGTGCGTTGGAGCATCTGAGGCCGGTCAAAGCGCCGGAAACTTACTCTACACACTATAGTGCCGCAGCGCCGGCAGCCGCCCACCATGTCGCGTGCACACTCGCCCGCCTTAGTATCATATGATGTGCGCGCCTGGTCTTCCATGTAGAACCAGTTGCCCGCGCGTGCCCGGTACCGCAGTGTCTCTTCGGTGTCGACGGGTAGATTTTCATTGTGGCATCGGAGGGTGGACGCGAGCAGCGGCTTGCGGAACTGAATTAGGCCGGCACGGATCTGGCGACAGGTGCGTGCCAGGCTGTCCAGGGTGTTTTGATCAATGAAGGAGGCAATCGTGGCAGAAATTCTAAGTAGCCGACAAAAGAAGGGGAAGGAAGAAGAACATAAGGTTAGTGATCCCATGGGGAAATATGACCGATGACAGTACATCACAGTACGCAACGCAAGCACGTAGAGGCAAAAGGGTCACGTAAAGCAACAGCAGAGGCCGCGCAAAGAAATCAAAAGGGGGATCTGCCTACGGATAGCATCCCAAAGCCTCTGTCATGGAATTCCAGTTGGGAATCTCCACAACATCGGGCTTGTGAGCCTCCTCGACACTGTCGTGGGCATTGGCGTCATCCTGTATTGACGGCCCTTCCGACTGTGTCTTGTTCTGTGTCTGGGGTCGGATGGGGGGAGACGCAGGCGGCGTCCGCACCTGTTGGGCGTGTGCACGGTCGAGAACGGCGGCGGTGCTGCTCCAGAGCAGCTTGCCGTGCTGCAGGTGATGCGGCGGCTCGACATCTTCGTCGTCTAGGTCGACAAAAATAACCATGGTGGATGTTGGGACAGGTATTCGTCTGTTTTGTTATCTGCAGTAAAAAGAAATGAGAAGAAACAAGACAGGAGAAGAGACAAATACGGGCGGATCGTATCAGGCTCTTGAGGGATCTGCTGTATTGAGCCTGAGCATAGATAAGGTACGACGATCACAGCAATCAGTCGGGAGGAAGCGATGGAATGCGATGGGGACAAATGGACAGCAGTATAGAGGGGGGCATTGAAGGCTGTCAATATGATGGAGAGAGATGCAAATGAAGATGAAGACGTTGCAAGGGTGAAAGACAAAACAGAGACGGCTCCTTCTTCGGAGAGCTTGAGGAAAGAGACAATGCCGTCGAAGGGAGGTGCAAAGGCAGGGATGGGCGGTGACTTTGTTCGTTGAAACTAATGAGCAACGCCTTACACCTATGACACAAGCGGTTGCATGTCGCGTCTACGAGGGAATCGAGGCACTCGCTACAAGTGGGGTCGAGAGGGGAAGGAGCTGTCGAGGTCGCTTGGGCGTTCCCCTGATGGGCTGGCCCCACCACCAAGAGGTGCTAGGCGCGCCCTCCATGTGACGGGCACAGCGGGCTAATAATAACCACAGCAGGCATAGGCACGGCCATTGCTCCGTCCTGACGATGACGTCCAGCAATTCCGTCGACATCGACCTCCTCAATCTTCACAACCTTAGGCTTCTTAGGATTGCGTCAATCTCTTCATCTCTGCTCATATGTCAACCTCACTCATACGCTCTGAATCGTTGATAGCGCTCGGTAGGATACATCCCCATCTGTTCCGTTTTAGCGAAAGCCTGACGCAAGCGTTGGGCAATGGTTTCCTAGGTTGTCTCGGTTGTATCATGTCAGGGCGGAATGCAATGGAAATACTATGGAGCCTTATTGTCTTGGGAGGTCCGGGCGAGGGTCATGCATCATGAGGTATGTACATCGTACAGTGATAACGGAGCAGAAGTCAGACAGGTGAGATACCTTAACAATTATACAGGCCAAGTATCTCGCTCTGAGCTACGGTTAATGCTCAACATGTGCACGGAAGACCGCCACACAGAGCAAGGAGCAAATGTGATATTGGCATGCTTTGTAAATAATACCCTTCCTCTTCAACCCCACGCCTTCACCCGCGGTCCTTACGTTACGGCCACGCACAGTGTCTGCTTTACTCGTGCTGGGTAGGCGTTGTCTAGCTGTCGATGACTTTTGCCTCGACTGCTGACAGAAATGATCTTGCAGAGAGATATTTTGATACGACATGACAGGAAAAAGCTCGTCAGCAGGTGGGGAGCTGAAAGCTAGCACGCAAGCCGCTTGGCGCAACTCGGATCGAGAAAGGGAACTTTTCATGAAACTTGAACGTCAATTCGAAATATAAAATGTGTCATAGATTGTGCATCTTCTCCGATCGGAGGTTGGGAAAGGAGAGTATCGAACACATCTCTATAGACTGTCACTGAAATATCGACTCTGTTGTGGAGGGCGGAGTATCACTGTTGCACCTCCAGTTGAGGTTGGGCAAAGCTGGAACGGGGAGCCGATGTCCACCCAATTCTCCGCCTCAACACTCTTCCGTCAATCCCTTCACATCGTAGCTTCCGGAACTATTCTCTACTCGCGAAACCTCTATTCATCAAGTTTCCTGCAAGTTTCCTGCCATTGGACTTTCCATGCTCACGGCCATTAGTTTAGAGTCTTTGAAGTTCCAGCGTAAACTCCTTGGTGTAGTACCGGACATTCCCCAAAGACGCCTTCCGGCTTCGGCGCCTTGCCGTCACAACAGCCTCACTCTCCGCCTTATGTCCTTTTTTCTTTCTCCTCCACTCTTTTTATCAGATCCTTTAGCCTCCACAGCTACTGAAATGAGAATTTGTTACATTGGTTCTGGTCTCCGGTCCTCATTTCGAACCGACGGGTAGATTATCGTACGCTTGCTAGTGCTGGCGCTTCCTTTCGTCGAGCCTGGGATTTCTGTATTTTTTTAGGGGGGGGGATTGGGGGCTTGTTCTATGGTTGTGCTCTTTCTTTCATCCTTGTCTCTGAATACTCTGCTCGTTGACGATGTTGTCAGACCCGGTACATAGTTCTACCACAAAGCCCTCAAGAGCGAGGCCTCGTAGCTACGTGACGGAAACAGTATGGAATGAGCTCAACCGCGGCCGACATACGGGGGAGAGGGCTGGCTGAGTTCAAAACTGCGACACTACAACATACAATTAGACCGAGGAGACATGACGACGGTCATGGCTTTCTTGTTCACTGTTGTATTTGATTCTTTTACATCTCTGCTCTCTTTCCTTTCCTTGCCAGTCCTTGTTTACCCAGTCCCACCAATCCCAATTACTCCCCGGTACTTGAAATCCAGTCCTGCATGGTACACCAGTTTGGGGCGAACCAGAATCGTCAGGGACACACACAAGGCTGTCTCATATTTGTCAGTTCGCCTTCGTCTCGGGGCATGACTATTGAAGTGACGAAAATGCCGCCACAGAATGCTGACCATGTGGTCGAGCAGAGTTTGCACTACCTGCAGCGTTTTTCCTCCTTTTCTATTTCCCCATCTCTCCTTCCGTGGCCCAGCTTCTCCATTTGGCAATACTTCGTGTTCCCGTTGATCTGTCTGTCCAAACATGCCCTCCTCGTTCCCGAGGTCCGTCCGCCAACCAGGTTGAGCTTGCCCTCTCCAAAGCTCCGTCCCCGTTCACATACATGTCAACTTGGGTGTCCCGTGCTTCGTTCCCTTTTTGCTCACCTTCTTTTGCTATTTTTCTCAATCTCTGCCTGCCCCGTGATCGGATTTGGGTGCGGCTTGTCCTTTTTGGTTTAGCGTTATTTTCTCCTGTTGAACATTCCGTGGGGGTGCTCATCTCAATATGAAGTTTTTCGAGGGCATCTGAGGTTACGGTCAACAAGAGCTCACTGCCAGGCCCACGTTGTTGTTGAATGTTGGCAATTCTGACTGTCTGCCGTGGGGCATGGCTTCAATGACTGAGGGTCCCTGAACAGTGTCCAACTGCTTCCGGCCTAGCGGGTCTGGTAACTGCCTGGAATGCAGAACGCCGGCCGACAAAACAAGGTGCCCGGAGCACTAAAGCTTGTCTCAGTTCCTCGCAAGTCCCGACTGTCCGGTACTCGTCGAAGGCGAACATTCTTCCCCTGGAAGTCACCGTTTTTGGTAGGCGTTTTTGCCTCCACCGTATTCAGGTCCGCTTCCAGAGGACAGCACCTGCCTTGGACAGCACCTGCCTTTGAACGGACATGTACCACAGTCGACCTACACTAGCTCCTGCCAGGTTCGTCGCTCTTCTGTCAAGCAAGCTGCAAGGTCCTGACACCCTGCAGGCATCGTCGTATTTGCATTCGTTGTAGCTTTGCATATGATCCACCGAAACGCCTCACCGACGACATTCCGCCGCTTATTTACAGGTACTGCTGTGCTTGCTGTGCTGTTGTGCGCGTCGATGTATGCTGTAAGATCGACCATCCCACTGTTGCGATAACGCCGCTCTTTCATCCTGCCACCGCATCCGCACCTTCCCCACGCCAATGAGAATGGCCGTAGCTGCCACTTTGTTCCCTGATTATGCCCTCCCCTCCTTCCTCGAATGAGAGCAAATGTAAATCAATTAGGAAGGCTACGGTCAATTGCTAATAAGAACAATCCTATCAAGCTTGTGGCAATCGTCTTCTTTCTTCTCCTTTTCTTCCTCGTCAGGATGGCCGTTCCTTTTCATCGGGCATCGTGCACATCCCACAATCCTGTCTGTTCCTTACCACCTCCCCGCCCCACCCGATTCGAGGACCTTACCTGAGACGGCGCCATTCCAGTCCAGCTGGCTAGCAGGTTCGCTTCGTCACACGCAAAACGGGTTCCTATTGCCTCCTATCCACCGACATCGACTTGACTTTTCTTTGACCTTTTTGAGCTCGTTCTCTTCCACTCCCAAACCTTCCTTGTTTCTCTTCCTCTTCTATTCCGTTGACCATACGTCCGGTCACGTATCTGCAGACTGCGACGCCCGCCTCTCCTCTCCTCCTCGAGATCCTACCACCCCACGTCGAAAGCCAGTTTCTCTCCGATACGAAGACTCTTCTATCGGACGATATCTCGGGCAACGATTCCCTTGACAGAATAGCGACAAAACCCCCGTCTCTGAGTCTCCCTTTCGGGACCCTTACCGCTTTTCGCTCTTCTCCTGTGTGTCGTTGAAATTTTTTAGGTCGTGTGACGTCTGCATCGACCGCTGCCGCTTCCCGCACGTTCTGCAACCCACTGTCGGTGTGTTTTGTTTCGTTTGCAACGTCATTTCAGGTACGGATTGCCAGGGGTGGGTGCAAGCGCAAACCAAGCAACGGTCCAACCAGTGACTGCACGTTACGCTTCTCCCGTGGGGCGGCATCATTTGGACCTGTCCCAACAGTATTATTCTCGCTCCTAGAACCGGCTCCTAATTTCGTTTTCGTCTTCTGTTTCTAACCCTTTTCTGTTCAGAACATCCCTAGGCCTCGGATTCATCTCACCCCAAAGCGCAAAATCGACCATGGCAGCCCCCTCCTCCAACCCTCCCAAGAGCCGCGGCTCCTCGGACGACTTCAGCGTCTTCGACGATGCCCGAACCTACTACACTTCCGAGGAGCGCCACGCGAACCCACGCGCTGGTGCCCGTACACGCACATACTCCCAGAACAGCTTGCAGAAGCAGTTTGCCCGTCTCGGCGTCAAGGAGCCGTTCCGGCGCGGCAGCCACGACGAGGCGGCACCCGCACGGCGATTCCTGATTGACGTTGACAGCACGCTCGAGAACCTACGGAACCAGGAGGATACGGATGGCAACTTCCAGATCACCATTGAGGACAACGGGCCCAAAGTCTTTACGCTGCGCACAGCCGCGTCTAACGGCTACAATCGCTTCGACATCCGCGGCACCTACATGCTGTCCAATCTCATGCAGGAGCTGACTCTCGCCAAGGAGTACGGCCGCCGCCAGATTGTGCTGGATGAGGCTCGCCTCAACGAGAACCCGGTGAACCGTCTCTCTCGCATGATTCGTGACCAGTTCTGGGACAGCCTGACTCGCCGCATCGACGCCTCCAGCATTGAGATTGCCGCGCGCGATCCCAAGGACTGGACCGATGACCCGCGGCCACGCATTTACATCCCGCCCGGTGCTCCTGAGCAGTTCGAGTACTACACAAAGCTCGCCAAAGAGCGCCCCGAAATTCGTCTCGACGTGCAGCTGCTGCCCGAGAAAGTCACACCCGAGATCATGCGCGACCTCAACGACAAGCCCGGACTGCTGGCCGTGGACATGGAGGAGGTTGTAGACCCCACAACCGGTGAGAAGACACTACGTGGCCGACCCTTTGTGGTTCCCGGTGGTCGCTTCAACGAGCTGTACGGTTGGGACAGCTACATGGAGTCGCTTGGTCTCCTGATCAACAACAAGGTGCACCTGGCGAAGAGCATGGTGCAGAACTTCTGCTTCTGTATCCGCCACTACGGCAAGATTCTGAACGCCACACGTTCGTACTACCTCTGCCGTTCCCAGCCCCCCTTCCTAACCGATATGGCGCTGCGCGTGTATGACCGCATACGCGACGAGCCCGACGCCCTCGACTTCCTCCGAACCGCCATCCTGGCGGCTATCAAGGAGTACCACAGCGTCTGGGTGGCCGATCCGCGCTTGGACCCTGTGACGGGCCTGTCGCGATATCGCCCAGAGGGCCTGGGCGTGCCGCCCGAAACCGAGGCCACCCATTTTGTGCACGTCCTGGAGCCGTACGCGAAGAAGTACGGCATGACCTTTGAGGAGTTTGTACGTGCGTACAACTTTGGAGAGGTCAAGGAGCCAGAGCTCGACGAATATTTCCTGCACGACCGCGCGGTGCGCGAGTCGGGCCACGATACGTCCTACCGACTGGAGCGTGTATGCGCGAACATAGCGACGATCGACCTCAACTCGCTGCTGTTCAAGTACGAGCTAGACATTGCCCGGACGATTCGCACCGTCTTCAACGACAAGCTCGTGGTGCCGGCCGAATACTGCGTGGGCACGATGCAGCCCGGCCAGGTCGAGACGTCGGCGCTGTGGGACCGGCGGTCGAAGCGCCGTAAGTTGGCGATTGACAAGTACCTGTGGAATGAGAAGGAAGGCATGTACTTTGACTACGACACGGTCAAGAAGGAGCAGTGCACGTACGAGAGCTGCACGACGTTCTGGGCCTTGTGGGCAGGCGTGGCCAGCCCCAAGCAGGCGGCGGCGATGGTGTCCAAGGCTCTGCCCAAGTTTGAGGCGCTTGGTGGTCTGCTGTCCGGCACAGAGGAATCCCGCGGCAAGATCTCGCTGGAGCGTCCCAACCGGCAGTGGGACTATCCGTACGGCTGGGCGCCGCAGCAGATGCTGGCGTGGACGGGATTGTACCGCTACAGCTACGTGGAGGAAGCCGAGCGGCTGGCGTACAAGTGGCTGTTTATGATCACCAAGGCATACTACGACTTCAACGGCGTGGTGGTCGAAAAGTACAATGTGACGCAGCGCGTCGACCCGCACCGTGTCGACGCCGAGTACGGCAACCAAGGCATGGACTTTAAGGGTGTTGCCAAGGAGGGGTAAGTACTAAGTACTCTCGTCATTCTCGCCGCTGACTTCTTTCTTCTCTTCAATATGCTAACGACGTCTAGATTCGGTTGGGTGAATGCCAGCTACGTCTACGGCCTCCAGATCATTCGGTCGCATGCACGCAATGCACTAGGTACCATGACGCCGTGGGAGGCGTTTACGGCGGCCATTGAGCACGAGCGCGAGAAGGAGCTTGCCTCGATGGAGTAGTGGCCCTCGGTACGACGCGGAGCGACAAGGACAAAATTGATGCCAAGGAGAACGACCACAAAAATTATGGAGTCGTTTAGACTTGACAAAATAAAAGGAAAATCTGAAAGGGGAAATTCACGAAACGAATGGGGAACGGCAACAACGTACCCAGTTGGATGAACTGTACCAGGACAAAGAGGTTGAGAAGGAAGTGGACGGGCAACGTGCACCGGCTGGACTGTCCGGTGCAGCTCGGTAGATTAGCTAGGAAGGGATAACGCGGCGGACGGCAGCCGAAATACGGGACCGAGACTGACGGAAAGCAACGACAGGAGGAGATGGAGATGTAAGACGGAGAAGCAGAAGAAGAAGCAAACGACGAACGGAGTGGAGATGACTCACTCGGATGCTTGTCTGGGGCATCGAGAAGGAAGCTTGATTGCATTCTTTGCTGTTTTTCTGTCACAATTTTCTTTCTTGGGGCGAGGGGCTTTTGTTTGCTTGCCGTTTTCACCTTTTTTTGCTTTACTATTTGTTTGTCTTTCGTATGGCGGAGTTGCATTGCCTTTCACAGTTCATAGATTGGCTGGCTCTTCAATTTGCATATGCCGGACTGCTCTTGCTTTTTTGTTGCATATTCGAGGCATAGCATAGACAGCCCTGGTTGTACTGAACAACAAAAACAGCTTCAGTGTATAACACCACAAAATGAAGCCAGACTGAGAATCCTGACTCGAGTTTTCGTTATGATTGGCAACGATTGTACTTGATGTAGGGTGAGGGCGAACGAGTTGACAGTTTGCCAGGCCTGGCTGGCCTTGGTTTTGTGTGTGACCCTAGCACCTCATGACGCAACAGCCGAGCGGCTGTCAGAAGCAAAAGACGTACTACTCCCTTAAAAAGGTGGCTAGTCGTACATGCCTCGTACCCAGAAAACTGGCGGGACTAAAAAAAAACAGGTGGCCCTCGGGGAAAAGATGGTTCGAGACACGAGAACAGGGCGGTAGATGACGGTAGAAACAAGGGCAGCAGCCTTGTCGTGGTCATATTGCCCATCCATTGCCATGTGACGGACGATGAAGCCATTCGGAGGACGCAGTGGCCGTGTGAGATGAGGAAGCGATATGCGAGGAGTAACCTGGACACACGACACGAGACACGGAATACGAATTGCTAATCCTACGGCGTGATATGATGCTTGCCTAATATGATTGACATGGTGGAAAAGGTCGATGCAAACTTACGACGTATGAAGTTTGGGATTTACGAATTTACGAATTCACAAAATCTCCTCGCCCGAGCGATGCCCAAGCACTTGCAAAGATCAACATGAAAAGGGGACACCAAGACAAGGGTGCAAAATAGTATCGAAACGGTGCTCTTGGAGGTACAGTGACAAAGCGAGAAAAGTACAAAGTACAAATCGACAGGGCGACAGAACCGGCCATGTACGGAGCCGGTGCGGCAAAACACCACAGCACAGGGTGATGCCACGCGGTTTTCGGCCAAAATGCCTGCAGCCTTTCTTTTCCAGATGCGATAGCGTCATATGCCAAAAGAAAAGAAAAGGACGGAGAGAAAGCAGCCACAGCTGTGATCGCTCGCATGATGCGCATTGCGGCCAACGTCGCATGTACCAATATCACCTCTCCAGCCCCTAAACCGTGGCCCGCAAAAGCCGCAGTTTACACGCCCCTTACCCCGAGCGGTACTCTCTTTCTCCTCCTTCTCAATTTTAAGCCTTCTCTTCTTCTTTTTTATTCTCCAAAAAAATGCAGGCCGTCCAAACAGGAATATAATCGTGCCAGCCAAAGCCCTGGCCTCATGATAAAGTGATCGTGTCAGACGTTGTCTAGTCCTCAATGGGATGTGCCACTAGCACCAAACGAACATGTCACGTGTGATCCATAAGGATCCACACGTGACTTGTCCCCCTCCCAACGGATGGCATATCCGTTGGGGAAGAGGGGGGAAGATATCATAGATTAGTTGATCCGAAGGATCTTAAATAGATTGAAAATAATCAAGTTATTTTTAATCATTATTTTATAATAATAGTAATAACTTCGTTACGATAGTTTTAATTAATAAGAAATTTTCTTTGTATTAACGTTTATACGTATTATTATATAACTTATAAAAACTACTCTTTAAAAGAAATTTAAATAACTTTCGTTACTTTCGTACGGAAGGTTTATAAAACCTTCTCTTTTTACTTAAAGGAAGTTTTATTTCTCGAATCTTTACCTTTTATTTATTCTTTAACTTTTAATTATAATTAAATTACTTAAAACTTTTTTTTAATAATAATTATTCGTTATTAACGAAAAGTTAAAGATCCGGATTTAATACTACTATTATTTCTTTAAATACTTTTACTTTTAATCGACCTTATTATTTCTACCCTTTTTTTTATTATTACTTTATCGTTTTACTTTTAATAATTTATTATTACTTTTTTTTATAAACTTGTTTTAATTACTTTAATAATATAAATTATTTTTAATCCGGATTAAATACCGTTTTTTTCGATTATAAATATTATTCCTTTACTTTTTTTATTAATAATAATCCGTTATAAATTTATATAAATAAACCTTTATACCGTTTTTAAAATACTACGGTTTATCGACTTTAATATAATAACTCTTTAATTAATTATCTTTAACCCGTTCGAATAATATACTTTTAATACGAGTCCGGTCTTTACTTAAACCGTTAATAAATAAATTATTAATATTATTAATCCGGTCGGTAATAATATTCCCGTTATCCTTTATAATATATTTACCGTAAAATATATTTAACTTTAAAAGTATATATTTTTAATAATTAATATAATACTACTCGTTAATTCTTTAAATAATTATAATTTAAAAAACGATAATATTTATTTATTTAAATCTTTTAAAAATACCCGTTATTAATCGTCGTTACTTTACGATAACTTTTAATATTTTAAACCCGAACGGATCGGTTTTTTCGATTTATTTTAAAACGATTTTAATTAAACTAACTTTATTACTAATAATAAAATATTAGTTTATACGAATATTTTTAACTTTATTAATAAACTTTAATATATAACTTTACGTTACTTTAAAATATTCGTATTAAATACTTAAAGATAATACTTTATTAGTTTCGTATAATAATAGTTTAATTATATCTTTACGGATATTAAACGTATCTTTTTAAAGAATTTATTCTTTAACGAAATTTATATCGTACTTTAAAATAAATTTAAAGTTAATATAACCACGACTAATTATTTCTTTTATACCGTTCGTTTCTCGGTTAACGATATAATCCGTAACCGTAATTTACTTATCTTTTTTAACTCCGTTATAATAAACGTTAAAGTTTACGGTATATTTAACTTTAACGTTATAATTTACGTTTATAAAATTATAAATAACTACTTTTAATCGATAATTCTTAAATTAACCGAACTTACTATTATAAATTAATATATATTAATTTTACGTAAAAGAACGTCCGTTATTTAAACTATCGTTTAACGATTTAATCGTAAACGTACTTACCGTACTCGTAATTAAAATAAAACCGTTTACGATATATATTACTTTTAAAAATATAACGACGTTATTAAACCCTTTAATAAAACTTATAACCGTACGAATAATAAATAAACCTTTTATAAAAACTACGACCGTACTAATAATAATTCACCTTTCGATAAAAACTATAATAAAACCGTTAATAATTAACGTAAAAACACTTTTTAAAAGGATAAATATAAACTTATTAAAGACTACGGTAATCCTCCCGTTAAAATATTTAATATTAATAATATCTTTAACGAGTTAGACTATAACGACGACGAGAACGATAAATCTTCCGTTACTACACTTTAATAAGAATAACTCGACGAAGAAACCGATATAGTTATATTAACCGTACTACCTTTAACCGTTATATTTATAACTTATCGTTAATACTTATAAGTATTTAATAACCGTAATAAACTTTACTAGTACTTTCGTAATAATTATAACCGGTTATTACGGACGGTAAAAAACTAATATTTAATAAACGATAATTTTTAAACACGGATTTTTAAACTACGAATTTTAATATAAATTCTTTACCGGTTTATATATACGTTTTTTTAAATAATTATAATAATACGGATATTTTACGTAATTTCTTTATAATAATACTATATACTTACTTTAAAATTTAAAAAAAATAAAAAAACTAATAATTATTTATTCGAACGTATTTACGTTTACGAATATAATATAAGAATATAACTACTCTTACTTAATTTATTTTATATACCCTTTTTCGAACGTAATAAACGTATTAATTATTAAAGACACCGGGTATTCCTAATCTTTTACTAACTTAATTTAAGTAACGGACAACTACCCACGTTTACTCATCCACTATACTAAACAACCGTTACGGGTTAAAGGTATTAGTAATACTCGTTACTTTATATACGATTACGTTATCCTTCCCTTTTTATTACGAGATTATAATACTTATAATAACTAACCGGTATTCACGTCTTTTAACCGTCGTATTTTTCTAGTTTAAACGTTAACACTTAAATTACTCGTCGGTAATAATATTATAGTACCCAAACGGTTTTATATTAATTATCGTAATATACGTGTTATTATATATTTATATTATACTATTATAAACTTCGTTATTTAACACTTATAATAATAAACTAACTTAATAGTTAAAACGGTTAAACGGATACTTATTCCTTTATACTTATTTACTACTCTTTTTATTTAGTTTAAAATAAAAGTTTATTATAATTCTTTACTATTTACTTTAACGAAATCCTTCTCTTTATTCACTTTTATTTTCGTAATTAATTTTAAAACTACCGTCTTACTAATATATAACTATTTAACCACACTTATTTTACTTTACACTAATTAAAGACTCGACCGTCTCTCTTTATTAATAATAGATTATAGATTTCTCCCGTTATCCGATAATGTTACGGAAACCGTAATATTAACTATCTTTTA